ATAATTTCGGATGTTGAACAATCGAAATTAGATTTTCGGTTGTTCAACACCCGAAAATACTAATTTCGGTTATTGACCAACCGAATCCAGCCCGAGAAGGTTAAAACAACTATTCCCATTTTTTTTGAATTCGGTTATTCAACAGTAAAAAATGGGTAAAGTCGTATTTTTAAGAAAATGTCATTATGAAAGGGAAAAAACAGACATCCTGAGAGTAACATAAACTCAAAGGTGTATCCGTAATAACGCATATTATAACAGATATTAGCGTAATTTTATCTTGGAATTTTGATTGGGTACAAAAAGAACAAAGGGATTAGGGAGTTTTGTAGGCACGTGAGCATTTGTGCTCCGTTAGAGAGAGATAGGGGAGAGCATGTGTGCTCCGTTAGAGATAGATAATGGAGAGCATGTGTGCTCTGTTAGAGAGAGAGAGCTGCATGGTGGGAGCTGCAGTCAAAAAAAAAAAGCACGCTCTTTAGAGAGAGAGGGCCCCTTCGTTCGGTTTCGTAGACACGTTAACATTTGTGCTCGTTAGAGAGAGAGAGTGAAAGTTAGAGATAAGGGTTGGGCATTTGCGCGCGTTAGGGTGGCTCGGTGGGAGGTGATGGCGCGCGTAAAATTGCATGCTAATTAAAGAAACGCAAATGTGGCTTGGTGGGAGATCATGGCGCGCGTAAAATTGCATTCTCAATAAAGAGCGTGCGCGGGGTGGCAACGGGTGGACTGGAAAAAACAATATGGGTCCTCGACTTGGACCCATACCCAAAAAGACAACATGGGACACGAACCCATCTGGACCCAACCAAAAATAAAAATATTATTTATAATATTATGTTAAATATATACATGTATTATTTAAAAGATCAAGTGTATATAAGGTTGTAACTTTAAAATACAGAGTTAAGGAGCATCTCAAAAGTACCCTCTAATTTATTATCTAAATATCCAGATGTATAAATACAAAACAAAAAAAAAATTCGAGTATAGAAAATAGTGCATCATGTTACACATTATCTAGACCATCCATTTTCAAGATTTTCCTATGTTTATAGGTCTATTTGATTTAAACCATTTTTTAAAATTAAAATTTTATACTTAAAGATGAAAATATATTTTCAGGTCATCCTAAGAATTGTTGACACCGAAATTACATGTTATGATTAAATTTTAGATGTGTGCTTTAATTTAGTCGTTTAAGGTTGCAGCTTTATGCATATCACACCCTTATTTAAATATTATAACTAAAATCTATAGTTATATTTATTTAAATATTAATTAAATATTATTAAAATATTTTACATTTAATATTATTTATATAATGATACTATCCGGGTTAGGTTTGTGTCTGGTCCATATGAAACCATATCCAGACCTGAATAGTGTGCGGGTCTAATATTTGGACCTGGATCCGACCTGTTAAGTCCAATTCTTGGCCCAATATCCGGACCCAAGTCCGGTCCAGTGCCACTTAGTGCAATTATGCAGGCACGTGAGCATTTGTGCTCCTTAGAGAGAGAGAGTTAGAGAGGGAGTAAGAGTCGAGAGCATTTGTGCTTGTCAAAGAGAGAGAGGATCATTTGGTGGGAGATAATACGGCCCCTCGTAGATGCCAAAATTTATGGGAAATGTTTCTACGTGACCCCAACAACATATAAGTTATATGCGACCCTACTTCTATGCCATTTGATCCGAATCAAACGGCTATGATTGTTCATACCACAATGTCAAGTCAAACATTGTTTTATTTTTCATTTTTTCTCCATAAAACATTTTTTTTTATGTAAGTGTTGCGTCCCAACAGAAAATTAGGGCGAGCCTCACAAAAATATAAAAAAATTATTTTATGTACAAATATATGACCAAAATACCGCTGCAATTTTTAGGGGTATTCTGATAATTGTTCATCACCGATAAATTTTTTTTAATATTTTTATCATGTGCGTCATTGTTAGATCTATGCTTGCCCCAAATTTTGCTTCAAAATTATTTGTAGAACAAAAATATAAAATAAAACACTATGAGCCGTCTGACCAAGATCTAACGGTTGAGTACTAGCTTGTGACATTGTAACTCAAGCTATCTCAACCATCTATTCAGATCTGATGGCTGAGACAAAAGGTCACATATATCATATATGTCGGTGGGGTCACATAACAAACCCTCCCAAAATTTATATGCCAAAAGGTTGCATGGGAGTGCATTATTCATCCACTCCCAAGGGCATCTGAATATTTTTTTAAAATCCAAATGCTGGGATTGGATTTCTAGAACCTAAAACCAAGCCTAAGAAGAAGAAAATAAGACCTCTTATTGTTGCATGTCTAAAACAAGACATCTCAATATTGCCCAGGAAGTGTCCAATTTTTTAGAGAAAAATCTAGGTGTTCTATATTCAAAGAGTAGAAATGTGGTTCAATATAATGCTAGTTTAGAAGGATCTACCTCTTACAAAATTGATGAAAAACTAGAGTATTGATTGTCTAACTGCTTTGGGTATCTAAAAAATGGAGTAGACAATTTCTTATATAGCAAACTATAAGCATTTCATTGGTCCATGAGATTAAGCAGCAAACAAATCAAAAGGTCAATAACTCAAAATCCAAATTTCCCTTTTAAAAATAATCATTTCGTGATACTTAGATGAATACCAATATTTTGAATAAAAAGAAGCTCCTAAGTACCTATTTTGCAAGATGGAGTTGTTATATGGTATAATCCCAAGAGAGCATATTATACACGGTTTATTTATATTTGGAGAATGTATCATCCGCATCACCATTGTCAAAGCCTTTTGTCATACCCTCAATGACATCATAAATTCTTGTATATTTTCTCACTACTAACTATATCTGTTTAGACCTAACCCCAGCCTTTTTTTAGACTTCTACATTTGAGTAATTAATGTAAAAACTATATTTTTTGTTATAATTAAAAGGTAATATTTATTTCCATATTTTTGTACCAGTTCATTGTTAAAACATTTATTTTTGCCCAAAATACCTCGAATATAGCACTTGCAATGCTGGACCACATCTGAAATCCTTCTTTTAAAATATCAAACCCACCTCTCCACGATATTGCCGGGCCGGAATTCCAAGTTGTTAAGCTGCCCTTTTACCTATTTTTAGTCAGAAGTCAGTCGTATACTTGGCATGTTGAACCCTTGGTCTGACACTACCAAAACAAAAAAATGCAACAAACGGAAAAATAGAGGTGGTTTTATATCCCCCAACCACTACCCTTCACCTTCGTTTATCTTCCCGTATATTTATCTGTTCATTGTTCATTTCCATCTTGTTTTTTTAGTTGGTCTACCACTTCAAGTGCCTAACCAGCAAGAATATAGTGTGGCACTTAAAGTGTCAGATTGATTTCTGGCAAAAAGTATGTCGAATATTGGTTTAGCACTTCAACAGCCAGCAGTCCAATGTTACAAGGGTTGAAAAAGTCAAATATGGTTCGGTAATTTAAGTACCAGATTTGAGGTATTTTGGGAAAAAATGAAGAATGACCCAAAAAAAAAAAGAGGACCCATTAGAAAATATATATTAAAATTTTAATTAAATAACGTATTTTTATGCCAACTACCCTTAAAAAAAAATGGATGGAAAACTGGTTTTTATAATGGTGAGTACTAGATGCATCAAACCATGCAATTGGTACACTAGAAATTGCACCACTTCATGAAACCGACCCGCATGTTTCTCGATCTCAATTTATTTCCTCAACCAAATTCCTTGAAGTTAGAGATATTTTGAAGTTGACGGTATCATTTACAAAAGCCTTAACCTCTACACGTTTACAACAAAAAAAATTGATAGATATGACCCGGGAAGCTCGATTTTGTTGAAGAACCCTGTGTTCTTGAACCTGACATTTTTTTGTCTCAATTTCTTTTCATTCCTTCAGCCCAAACTTCATGAGATCAAATTTATTTTGAAACTATTTGTATCCTTCATAAAAACCCCAGATTGGCTCGTTCGATTCTAAATCAAATAGATCTAGCCCCAAAAGCTGAAATATGTTGAAAACCCATGTGTTATGAGATGTTTATTTTTTTTAGAAAATTATCACTGACAGTGATGAAACCGTTTCCAAATACACCAAATAGTCAATTTATCTCTACTAACATTGGAGGGTATACTTTTTATTTTAATTTCAACAAGATACCTCAAAAAAAAAAAAAACAAATTGCCCCTTTTTGGTACTTGGAAGACAAAAAAATTATAGTATTTCTATAATTTGACCCTTGTGACGGCCCAACTGAATGATAAAAATACATGTAATTGTTCCGTACTACAAATGAGGAACACATTGTTCAATATTAATAATGCATAACAACTGAGGGTATTTCTTTTTATTATTGTGTTTAAATGCTTTGCATATATCACATGACAAAAATGCCTATTGCTGTTTTGCATTAGTCATTAATTATTAACATTCAACAATGTGTTCCTTATTGTAATACATAAAAATATTTTGATTATTCAGGTTAAGGCCTATTAGGGTTAAAATTATTAAAATGTGCCTCATCGTTTTTCATTCTGCAAGGGCAATTTGGATATTTTATTTTTTAAGACATAGTTGAATGAAATAAAAAAAAGGAAAAAAGAAAAAGTACGCCGTCAATGTTAACAGAAATATGATCCCTTTCATAATTTTTTAAGAGGTTATTTTTAGCCTTTTATTGGGTGCGTAATTTTTGGATCAATTTGTATATTTTAAATGCAGAGTTAACCTCGCAAATCAAATATTCCTAAAAATCTCTTTCTTTTTTAACATTCTTCGGGATTTTTCAGGTTCTTATCAAATTTTCCAAGCCCCTGTGGGTCTCCGCCAAGACCAACTCCCGGGCCTGGGGCGAGTTTCTCTCCCAGCAAAACAGCAGCTCATCTGCCAAAGTTTATTCCCGCCAAGCACTGTTCGGAGCCTCGCGACACTAATCCGTGAGTTCTTTGTTGATTTTACATTTTTTTCTCTCTTTTTTTTTTTTTGCTAATTTCGGATTTCTCATACAACATTGTTCTCAGCGTTTTTTCGGAGGAAACCCTGTAAAAAACATTTCTAGGGTTAAACCTACTGATTTTACTAATTTTTCTGTAATTTCCTCGGTTGAATGTAATATTAAATTGGTTTAATAGTTTTTTCTGTTGTAAATCGAGTTTTAAGAAACTGCAAATGCTTTATTTCGTGAATTTTCTGTGTTGTAAATCTAGATTCATGGTTGAGTGTTTTGAGTCTTGACATCAAGTTCTCTGATTATTTTTACTCAGTTCCCTGATTATTTCCTGATTTTTCTGTGCTTGTAAATCTGGATTCATGGTTGATTGTATATGTGCGAGTGAAATTCTATATATTTTTACTAATTATTTGGTGGTTAATTGGATTACTTTAGTCTTGGAATAGAATTTGATGCAAATGTGAGTACGAGCCAAAAGCTGAAAACATATAACCTGACCTTTTTTAATGCATAGTTCTGAAACTCCTATTTATTTCAAGTGTTGGTTCACTTGTTGAGGAGTCTGAACTTTGTTAGTCTTTTACAATGGCTTTGTCATCTTATATAAGTTAGAACAAAATCATTTTAAGTAAAATAGTCAGAAAATAGTCAGAGGCATTGAGTTTAACAGCTATAATTTTTTGTTGGCTTTCGTTTACTTTGTGAGGAACATCTCGCTAGACCAGTTCTCAGGTACATTGTTTTTTTATTATTATTATTTTGTAGATTTTATTTTACTAGTTATGTGTTTTCTTTCATATGTATTTGACACTACTTGTCCTATTACAAGGACTAGATACAACCCCTTTGCATCTCATTCCAAAACCAAGATGCCGCCATTCCAAGTCGAGCTTCTGTTGTGATCAAATTTTCACTCTACATTATAAAAGTTCAAGTATCATGAATGAGGCTATGGCTCTGAGGAGCAAGGTGTATTTATACAAGTTACTTTCCAGCTGATGCTGACATTCCACTTGTGCTTTGGGTTAATGTATCTGTTGCTCATGATACTTTTTAACACTTATGGAAAATGGCAAAGCTGTGCTGAATGTGCTGAACGTTTCATATGTTCATAAAACACCATATAATTGAATTTCTTTCAGAATCTCATTCATTGGACTGTCATAAAGTTGCCATATAAGTATTGGTGACATTTTGGACAAAGTTCATTTTCCGACAATGTGCTGCATATGACACACTTCGCGAAATATTGGTGGCTTGTTTCTTCACTTCATTGCAATAAACCAAGCAGTATTTTTACATCATTTAAAAGCCGAGCAACACAGAAACCTCAAGGTGTTGTACATGTTCAGATGCATTCTGCCTGGTCTGTGTCCAACAGTGTTGCCAAAATAGAGGCGAGAGCTTCTAAAACGAAAATATCTCCTCCACAACAATCTAATAAATGCATCTCTGTGTTGTTTGTGGTTTGCCCATTTATAATTTCCGTTCCTGATAGTTCAGGTGAGTCATGAGTCCTGTAAAAAACATATTTTTTATATTCCTTGTTTGGATTGGATACACTCCCAACAATGACTTATTCTACTAGTGAGAATTGCTGCTGATCTGCTCATGGTCAAGATATTGGTCTGGGTTAAAGCAAAACATTTCTGTCGAGCTTTTTCTTTCATGGGTTGTATGTTTGCTATAAGTTCACAAGGTAATTTTTCTTTCTATCAGATCATAAGAAACTGTTTCATGTGATTATATGGGTATAATCTTGAAGCTTTGTTCAACCATACCTCCCTGTTTAGTAGTTTGATCTGAATATTTCAGAATATTGATGCCATGATTTAGGACTCTCACCTACACGTGGTATAAGTTAGAACAAAATCATTTTAAGTATAATAGTCAGAGGCATTGAGTTTAACAGGTATGGCTTGAGGATTAGGAAGACCCGTAGAAGTAGAAGATGACAAAGCCATGGTAAAAAATTCCTATCTACTTGAAGTGTTGGTTTACTTGTTGATGAGTCAGAATTTTGTTAGTCTTTTAGTGGCGCGATGATTATATTGAAGGGTTGAACTATAGTGGATGAATTGTCATCTCTCCCTCTTTCTCTCTCTCTCATTATCTCTCTGTTTAAGTGATCGCTTTTGTGTTACTATTTCAAAGGAGACAAACTTATCTTCTGTAATATACTAGTGTGGTGGCAAAATGGAATGGTTAGCTTTGAAACTTTTAAATATTTATTTTTTAAATATATGGCATATGTTTGCTCTTGAAAGCTGCTTGTGCGTTGAGTGAAATTTTGATATGAAGACAATCAATTTTGTTCAATATTTTTGTAAATATTGGCATTCCTTGAATTTCTTTACATGTTTGGTATTAGAATGAATGGAAGGAACATTATTTAATTACATAATGTTTTTAAAAAACTGCATTTCGCACATCATATCAATGAAATACATAATGAACAATATTACAAACAGTTTCCAGCTTTCCCATCATCAAACAGGTGAAATTACCAGCATCACAATTTATCAAATACGGTTTCCGGCTTTCAGCCTACCAATTTTCACATGCATCCCAAAATCTAGGAAAGTCAGCAGTAGGGGTGATTCCCCAGGACACTGCAGTGAAATATCAAACGCTATACTATTGCATCAACCCTTGGGTACGAGAAATTTACGAGCATATCATCCTAAACTTATGTTATTTAAAAAATCTCCAAATTTTCATGTTATTACATGCAAATACCCTAATTTTTGCAAAATTTTCAAAATAAAATTTACAAGCACATCCTCCTAAGATTATGTTGTTCAAGAAAGGAAAAAATTTATACAGAAAATTACAATTGTATCCCTTTGATTAACAATTATTAAATTTCATCCTTTATTACAGTTAACAGCTTCAAAAAAAAAAAAAAATCCTTCTTTTATTAATGTTGTTACAATCATACCCATTGTCTTTGGCTTTTTTTGAAAAAAACCAAAGTACCCATACTTCGGACTTAGAAAATCCAAACTCTACCATAACCAATTCATTCCTTTAAAAGACAGCAAAATATTTACAACTTTCGGGTAACTACTTTGGGATTTCCAACCCCGAAACTTTTGTTGTTGTCAATCGTAATAAATCCGGGGTCCGCAACTCCGAAATTTGTTGGTGCAAAACCCAATAACAACTTTGGGGTTTCAAACCTTGAATGCAATGTTAATTTCTCTCAAAAAAAAAACCCTCGAATTCATTATTGTTGTTACTTGCATTCCAATAACAATTTCGGGGTTGAAACCCCAAAATTTGTTAGTGCCAACTTTGGATTTTGGAAATCCGAGGTTGGGGCAATTTGGGGAAAAAAAATGAACATTTTCAAAATGGGTGAGGGTAATAATTTTAACTTATATGGAACCTCAATAATAACGGTTAATTAAAGGGTTTTCAAACGTAATTTTTTAAGTTCATATAAGGTTGCAACCCTATACGACCGAAGTAAGATGCATCTAAAAAATCAATAGAAAAGTGTGTTTCGAAGTTAGATTGCCTTCCAATACATATCTCCACCTCGTGATATGTGGATATAAAGAAGAAAGTAATTTGAAGTCTTAAAAATAATGCATACTGTATCAGTTATATGGACCTCTATTTTCAAGTGTTTATATATTTGTTTGATTCTGTGCTATTTTTAAATTTTAAATTTCATAAATTGGGTTGAACATGAATTATCAAGTTATAGCTAGGTTTTCAACACTGAAACTTCACCTTTAGTTAAATTTAGATGTATGCCTTACTTGTATATAGCATATATGGTGGTTACCTGATACAAAACTCACCCTTTTGAATCCCCAAATTTTCACGTTATTATATTCATATCCAAATTTTTTCACCGTTTGTTCAAGGGCAAAAGTTTATATAAGGTTGAGGCCCTAAACAATCAAATTAAGGCGCACCTAAAAGATTCACCAGAACAGGATGTTTTGAAGTCGAAAAACCATCAAATCGATCATCTCGACCTCTAGACACATAGACATGACAAAAATATATTTCAAGTATGGGAAATAGTGCATCTTGTAATGTATTATACGGGCTGTCAATTTTCAATATTTTTAAGTATTTATAGATATTCTTGATCTACGCTATTTCTGAAGCTTTAAATTTTGTAATTAGATATGAAAATAAATTTCATGGCCATCATAAAGATTTTTGCTGCTGACAATCATCTTTCAGCACTATTTAGAGGTATGCATTCTTTGATTGTTTAGGGCCTTGGTCTTATACAAACCACACCCTTTTTCAGAATAATGACACGGCCCCTGAAATCTTTTAGATCAAAGGTTTCTAGAGAGAATATTTTTGGAATTACTGCTGCAGAAGCACCAGAAAGCTTCAAAATCTCGACAACAAAAACACCAGAAAGCTCTGAAGGTATCCTGCTTTCTAATTTATTTCGAGATTCCCATCCCCTACCGATTCACCCCAAGCTCAATTTTTAGGGCTTCTCGATCCATTTTTGTATTTCTTAATTTTCGTTTCTTCATTTCCTTGTTGGGTCTTGATATAGTCCATTTTAATTGATATCTGATTATACATTTCAAAATTTTCTTTTTTGTTTATTTCAATTTATTGTTCTGCAAAATTTTGCAGGTTGAAGCCAAACACAAATGAACGCAGCTATAAAAAGCTGCAGACCCCTAAAGAACTGAAATGGAACCCCGGGCTTAAAGAGAGAAGTTAATGACGAGAACTCCAAAAATAATAGGTCTTTTCTCAATGGGGTTTAGGGTTCTAAATAAATTTGTTTTACTAAATTCCATACTATGTAATTACTTAGACTGTTATAAAGCTTATATGTTCTTTCAAAACTACTTTGTTTTTTAGTTTTTATTGATTCCCAATTTCTTTCTTGATGTTTTTTGTCCAAGCCCATAAGAAACCAGATTGAAAGTGGCTTTGTGAAGAAACCATTTCGAAGAATGGCGGTTTCTCGACTCAGAGAAGCTGGTCTGCCATTAATGAATCTTTTGAAGCTCAGGGGAAAACCCATTTTGGAGCAACTCCAACTGGAGGAAAGGCTTCTTCGTACATCTTCAGACAATTGGTGCATCATCAATGATGGCACAAACACACCCACCATCGTGATGGGCATATCAGGGTAACTCTCTCTCTCTCTCCTTCTCTTTCTCTAAAACCAATACCTCATTTCTTGTTTTTGCCTATAGATTCATCATCATCATAAAATCCTTTTCCCAACTATTTGGGGTCGGCTACACGAATCTTGATTTGCCATTTTGCTTTATCAAGGGTCATATTCTCAGTTAGGCTATAAGTCCCTATATCTTTTCTCACTACTTCTAACCATGTGCTTTTGGGGCTAGCCCTTGCGTTTTTTAGCCTCCACTTGACCCACCCGCACCTCTTAACAGGTGTTGTACAGGGTCAGCGCTGCACATGGTCAGCCCACCTAAGTTTATTTTCTCTCATCTTATCGCTTGTTGGAATACCTAAGTCTTTCCATATGTATTCATTTCAAATTCTATCCCGTCTTGTTTTGCCACTCATCCTTTTCAACATCTTCATCTCAGCTACACTTATCTTATGGATATATTGTTTCTTGATAGCTCAACATTCCGCCCCATAAAGCAAAGCTGATTTTACGGTTGTCTTGTAGAACATCCCGTTTAGCTTCATTGGAATGCGATAATTACATAAAACTTCAGGTGCATATCTTCACTTTGCCCACCCACCCAACTCTAATTTTATGTGTAACATCTTCCTCAATCTCTCTATTTTTTTTATTATCGACCCAATATATCAAAAATTCTAGCTTTTTGGTATTTCTTGGTCGTCAATCTCAACTAAACTTGCAGTCTATGTACTTTGTCTTAGTCCAACGAATTTTAAAACCTTTACATTGTAAAGCATCTTTCTAAAGTTCTAACTTTATGTTGATGCTGCTTCGGGCCTTTTTAATCAAAACTATATCGTCCGCGAACAACATGCACCCCAATACCTTATCTTGTAAGTGCCTAGTTAAGTCGTTCATAATTAAGACTGAGGTATGGGTTCAACATTGACCCTTGATGTAAACTTATTATCACTTCATCCGTCTTCCCACTAGTTGCTTGCACACTAGTCAACGCTCCCTCATATATATCTCTTACTAAGTCGCTATAGTATTTAGAGACTCTTTTTTTCCCAACACCCATTAAATTAAATATCTAGGTACTCTATCATAAGCTTTCTCTAGATCAATGAAGACCATGTGGGATTTTTTCCCGTCGCCCTAAACTTCTCAATTAGTTGCCTAAGTAGGAAAATAGCTTCAGCTGTTGACCTCCTTAGCATAAAACCGAATTGATTTTTTGATATACTCATTTTATACCTTAGTCATTACTCAATCACTCTCCCTTATAGCTTTATAGTGTGGCACATAAGCTTGATCCCTTGATAGTTCGCATAACTTTGTATGTCTCATTTGTTCTTGTAAGTAGGGGCCACAATACTTTTCCTCCATTTGTCTGGAATTTTTTTTGTTCTTAACATCTTATTGAACATCTTAGTCTGCCAGTCCATGCCAATCACTGCCATGCACTTCCAAACCTTATTGGGATGCAATGTGATCTTAAAGCCTTTCGTATCTTCATCCTTTTCAACCTTCTTTCATTTCTAATATCCTAATCCTACAAATGTATTTGTGACCTCCGCCCTCATTTATGCCAATGGTTATTTTTACCATGTGTTCCCATTGGGTTAGTCATTTACTAATTTTTGAAAATAAAATCTTCACTTTTTGTTGACCCATTCATTCTTCGCCAAGGCTCTTTGATCCTCACTTTTAATGCATTTAATATGGTCTAGATCCCTATATTTTTTTCTCTCTCATTTTTACTAATTTGAAGATATCTTCTTCACCTTTTCTCGTTCCCACTTTACCGTATAGATTATGATATGCTTTAAGTTTAACCTTATTTACTATTTATTTAGCTTTTCTCTTAGCATTTTTATATTCTTCCAAGTTTTGATTATTTCTATTACATTTATAATATGATATGTTTTCGCTAATGACCTTTCTTAACCTTATCACTCTACCACCAAGTTTCCTTATTGAAATTTATTTTCCTTCTAATTTCTCTTAAAACTTCTTTACCACTTTCTTAATACAGTTAACCATCTCGTTCCACATAGCATTGACTTCATGTTCAGAGTATTTTCATTCTTTAATTAATTTATCCTTAAATAACTTTATTTTAGTTCTTGGAGATCCATTAATTTCACCCCGTCTTTTCCATCTCTTTATGCAAACATACATAACCACGAGCCTATGTTGCGTAGTCAAATTTTTTATTGGGATACCTTACGGTCTTTACATGATGGTTGATCTACCTTCTTAACTAGGAAGAAATCTATTTGTCTTTTATATGATCCACTTTTATAGGTTATTAAATGTTTATCTCGCTTTTTAAAGTAAGTGATTGTAATTGCTAGGTCGAGCCATAGAAAAATCTAGAATAGCCTCACCCATCTCATTTCTTTCATTGAACCCATATCCCCCATATACACCTTCATATCCTCTACGATCCTTCCCTACATGACCATTTAAAACCCCTCCTAAAAAGGTCCTCTCTCCAATTAGTATGTCTTGGACTTGTCCATCCCCGTCCTCCCAGAATTGTCGCTCAACTCTATCCTCTAGTCTTACTTGTGGTGCACAAGCCCTAATTCTGTTAATGATCTCTTCTCCTAATACAAATTTAATTAATAAGAGCTTATCACCTACTCTCTTGACTTTAAATACTTTATTTTTTAAATATTTCTCTACTATTTTTCTTACACCATTTCTATTATTATCATTTCCTACTTATTAAAGTTTACACCGGTCTATTTCTTATTTTTTTTCCCTTTTCATTTAGTTTGCCGTACACAAGTTATGTTTACTCTCATTCCTCTCATTGTATCTACTAACTCCCTATTCTATCCTGTAAGCGTTCCTATATTTCATGTGGCTAGACGAATCATATTCTCTTGGACTAGCTTTTTACTCTCACTCGTTCAAAATGCTGCGAGAACCCTTGCCAAGCAGCACTGTGGCACGCTGATTCTGGGGAACGCCCTAACGAACCCTTGTTCATTTCTCACTGTTTCAGTACAATGTGTCGCTTACGAGGGATGCCCTAGCATAACAGATAATGTAGATTCAAGATTCATAGAAAATTTTGGCAAAGTTTTATGTTGGCTGCCTACCTAACACAACCCACGTCCTCTATTTGGGCTTGGGACAGGTTAAGAGAAAGTTTAAGGTCCTCACCCTTCTTAGACCTTGTTTTTGCCTATAGATTGTGATCATGGTATCATGCTAGCTTTTATTGCTGATAATATCTGATGGTTGAGATCGATACCTGTGAAATCCCATTTTTGCTAAGATTTTTTGTACATATTGTATGAAATTTTGTAACTTATTTAAACATGGGGGTATTGGTATAACGATTTAGAGGTAGGCAAAAGCCCAATCTGTTTTTATTAAATAGGGAAACCCAGAAATTTGTTATATGGGTATAGCTATTCATTTGTTTAGGGCGAAAAATCCAAGTTTTTTAAATAAACAGAGAAAACTCAGAAATTTGGTAGACTTATGAATGCTTGTTACACCAGGAAGCCATCACAGCTTATTGAAATTGAACCAGTGATACGTGATCGCATACATGTAATAAGGAGGTTTTCAGGGGGGGGAACTGTAATTGTTGATAAAGGAACAGTTTTTGTGACTTTTATATGCGACAAGGATGCAATACCAGGCTTACAACCATATCCTCATCCTATCATGTCATGGACTGGTCAACTATACTCCACTGTGTTTCAAGGGATTCCTGATTTTCAGCTCCGTGAAAATGGTATTTATTGATATAAAGTTCTGATATTTCCTGTTGCAAACCATGTCTAATTAAGTTGGAAAGAAGAAAAGAAAATCGAAACCTATGCCAAATTATCAAGCATGAAGACCATAGTTTCACCACCACATTGGATTGAGCTGGGGTTGCTATGCGTTTTAAAATCCATATTTGGGATGTTAATTGTGGTTTGTGAGAAAATTAAAGGTCTTTGTATCGTTTGATTCTTGAGGCAGAACTTGTTTGGTTTTCCTTTTATTTCGTCATATGTCGAATGGCTTAGTGAATAATGAAAAATCAGGTTGGGCTTATGTCATTGAAGCATTTCTCTGTGTTTGAACCATCAACTGATGCTACAAATAATCCTTCATATTCCAATGCGTCATGATTTTGTAACGTATGAAAATGTGTTAAATTTTGCAGTTGCAAATTTCACTTGGAATGTTTGGCCATTTACTTTCTGCAATTTCTACTCAGTCAATGCTATAGCATGACCTTTTTCAGTTGAAACTTATTTTCTTGTACAATCATAGCCTTATCATATGAGCTTGAGTTTTTAATTTGTATTTTCACATAGTTATACTTATAAAAAGAAAATAAAGTTATTGCAAGTTACTGAAAATTGAAGCACCTAGGATGGCATGAAATCCTGCAGCCTAATGTTATTGCTGGATACACAAAATTTATGCAATAGACTGAACAACCCACACCCACCCCCCCCCCGGGCCCTTTTTTTTTCTCTTTTTGTTGAGATTAACCAACATACTGAGCATTGTATTTGACCATCTAGGTCTATCAGTGATTTCCATGATAGAGAAAAACAACAGTTGCTATATTGTTTATGCACAAATCACATTCACTGTTAGTAATCCCCAGGCTTACATATCTAGTGTATTTAGTGCCTTGTTCATTTCTCATGGAACTTTTAATGGCAATGACTCTTGCATGATGGTTCCAGGTAACTCCATCTATTTTCTCTATAAAACCAGCAAAAAACCCTCGAGGCATAAGTAGCATTTGGCTGCTTCAGCATAGTTAAGCTTTAGAACTCCCTTGTGGGCCCAAGTCTGTCTCCCATTGTTGAGATCTTGGGTTCTATCAAACATTTACCTATTTTAAGAGCCCTCTAGGTTTGCTACTCAGAGCCAGCCATGTTGGGTCTCTGCTGAGGCCAAGAAACAATGTCCCACGAAAAATTCTTATATTCCTTACCTTTCAAATGCCAACCACTGCATCTTTGAGTCCTTTTTGTTCTGGTCCACTACTGGCAAACCTTTGAACCAAGCTCGAGAAAGGAGGAGGTATGATAGAGTCAGTGGTAGAATATTTTAACATACTTAAAACAAATCAATTTTGGAAGGTTTCTTGAACTGTTTGTTGCATCATGGAATAACATGTCAGGCAATTGCAGTTTTAATGTTTTTTTATTGGTTAGCTGAATGCAAGAAAAATGTTATTGCTGTGGCAATACACACCTTTCAATTGACCTAGATACAGGGTCAAGTTCTTAGAAGGAAATACATGTGGTAGTAGGATCAAGTCCATAGGACATATATTTCAACTCTTCATGTGGTTGACGCTCTGGTTTGACAAGACACTAGGTTATTTATTGCACTTCTTGAGTTTGTTTGTGGGAAGTGCAACATCGATTTGGAAGCGCAACATCGATTTGGAAGCTGCGGCTTCCAACATCAACATGACGTGATTTGGGGAAGCTGCACCATCCATGCTAACCCCTGGAAGCTTTGGCTTCCAAAGTGTATGAAAGACAGAATTTTGGCAGCACCCTCTTCCGGCTATGTGTGACCTCTACTCACACCCAGCCATGAGTTGCACCATAATTAGAAATCGCTCCAATGCTAACTCCTGTATTTTTGGGGAAAATTTTCAAAATACGCATCGACTATTTAGCATTTTACCTATATGTTTTGATTGAATTTCAAAACGCCCACTAAAATGTACATGAAATTGAAATATTATAAAAAGGGTAAAATGTCAAATAGTTGAAAAGTGACTGTATTTAAATTTTCTCTCTAACTTCTCATTCCTGTTTTGAAATCAACAATTTGCATGTTTAGTATCAGTTTTGTTGAGTCGATTACTGATTTCCCCCCATCCTTCTGTTGTTCTTTGTTAACTTCATTGTTTTGCTGCTAATAATTCTGCTAGATTATGCATTTGGTAATCGTAAGTTTGGTGGCAATGCTCAATCTATAACAAAAGGGCGATGGATCCATCACACTTCATTTTTGTGGGAGTATGACATCAAGAACATGGAGTATCTAAAACTACCAGTCAAGGCCCCAAAATATCGTTCAGTAAGTATTCCTTTTCGATACTATTAGTATGTCTTAACATGTATGTGGTTTTTCAAACTCTCATGAATCTTTATATCAATGGCTATCATAGGAACTGCTTAGGAAAATATTGTTCACTCTAAAAGCCTTTCTATTTGCGTGTAAAACGGGCCGTATTTCATTGTGACTTGTACATGCATATGCATATCTATGTGTGTTGAATTGTCTGTCTTCGAATCCTTTTTGGCTATCAGCATGCTTATTGCCATATACGTGTCATTTTAGATATTTCCAGTTCTTTGAAGGATTATACTTTATTAGGACAGGCAGGTTTCTCGGTGGTAATATTTTGGATGTTCCAAATTTTTTTACCATGATCATATAAGCCTCGAAGGTGTAGTTAGATTTGAGTATGGCCGAGTCTAAACCAACAATCAGCCGAAGTACCCATGGTGTGTCAAATATTTAGGACCTTGAGCCTGAGCTTCTGGAGGGGCAGTGTAAAATCCATCTCAAGCCCATTTGCAGTTCTGATAGCATATACATATAAGAGATTATGTTATTTTGCGGATGGATGGTATAGTATAAGCCCCATGCCTTGAATCTGGGCCAATTTGATGACCAGCATGTATAGATACTATTTGATTTTTAATTTTTTTTTCTAAATCTGATGGACTTGAACTTTACACGTACTCCCAAATTTTCAACGCAATCGGATCTATAAAGGAAAAAAAATAAAATGAAAATATAGAGTGCATACACGTAGATCGTCAGTTCGGCCTATATTAAATTTAGGCCATTGGACTGATACTAAAGGAGATTGAAAGAAGATGAGAGCTTTTCAACTTTCAGGGTAAGTCCTATATCTAAAGAAAGGTCTATAATTCGAATCAAATCTAAAGACCTACTTAGAAAAATGTGAGAATTAAATATACCTTAACTAAGAACTAAAAATATTTGGAACCAAGCTGGACTACTGCCCGCTATAGATCCCAAATCGGCTTCGCAAACTGTGGACAGGCATCTTTCACAATCTTTAGTTTTAACCCTAACTCCACTGCCATTAACTTTCCACACTCTATGACCACATTTACATTTACTAGGAAGGTACATAGGGCGTGTTTGACTATATGTGTAATTGTTGTTGATTGGCCTAGGGTTTTGATTGTATATCAAAGATTAGCACTTGGAACTATTATTTAGCCTTGCATTCTTGGATTGTTAGGAAACCATCAAGCCTGCAATTATGTGATCCAATCAAGTTTCTTTTATAGAAATTGACTTACACTACCCCTATGTTGAGTGCATCAATTTTCATTGATTTTCTCATCTAGCCTAGTCATATGTTGTTTAACCTTCACTTCAATGATGGAATATGGCCTATGGATTTTGAGTCCTGAGCACGTTTCTCACTCCAATAACTTTTGCTCTTCATTATTGATGGGCACGTCCATTGTCATGCTCTGCTAATTCAGTTTCTTCCTTTTTTATGAGCAAATCTATTAAGGCTTGCATTAATATTCATGCCATTGCAGGTTTTAATCTAACCTTCATCTCTTTATCATTCCTGCAAAAATGAGGTTTTCATTCTTGAAAGGGTGTGGTTTGCATAAAGTTGCAACCTTAAACAATCAAAGTAAGGTGCAGCTCCAAACTTTGTCATGAGATGCAATTTTGGTGTCGAAAATTCATAGGATGGTGTGAGAATATATTTTTATCTTTAATTATAAAATTTTAAACTAGAAAAATGGTTCAAATCAAGCAGATCTATAAAGGCGTGGAATTCTCGAAAATGGACAGTCTAGATAATGTGTTGCAAGTTGCACCATTTTAAAGACGAAATATGTATTTTTCTCCATATCTGTACATCTTGATGTCGACATATCTCCATATTATACATCTTGATGTCAAGATGATCAATTAGATGTTTTCCAACATCAAAACAACCCTTTTCAAAGGATTTTAGAGGTGCACCTTAATTCTACGTTTTAAGGTGTCAACCTTATATAAATTTTTTCCCTCTTATATTGTTTCATGAATTGGAAGTGTTGTCTTATGATTGTCAGGAGAGGCACCATGGTGAATTTCTTTGTCAATTGAAGGACTTTCCAATATTAAGATCAGATTTTATTGAGAAAGCAGTTTCTTCCATTGGAAGCTATTTCTCAGTGGAACCCGTGGAGTTGAAAGAGATTTTGGCTTCATCGGATGCAGTTTACCCCCATACAACCAAACTCCTTGCATTAAATGAATTGCAGGCATTTTTTCCTGAGGTAACTTAGTTTCTTTTTTCTTGTAGGTGTGGTAATTTTCAGGTCAATCATCCCCATTTTCATCTTTCTCAAGTATTGAACTGTACAATTGAGTTATGCATAAGGAAATAGTACCATTAAAATTATTTGTTTTCCCATTATATTTATGGGTTTGAATCTCTTGTTCATGTATTCCAAAACGATGAAAAGATATTAAATTTTTTTATAGTGAATTTTGAACTGTTTTATAGAAAATTTGAAGAAAATAAGGTATATAGTGATTTGAAAGAGATTTTTATCAATTACGAACATTGGCTGAAAATTTGAGGAAACAAATGAAGGGAATTTGGAGAACATGGTGGCCCTTGAAAGGATGGGTGGGTGGCCCGAAGGAATTAGAATGTTAGGCACTTGTGGTCGAACAGTTCAGTGTTCATGAATGCAACTGTTGTGTGTGTGAGAGAGAGAGAGAGAGAGAGAGAGAGATTTGAAGGGCTATTAGAAGGGCCAGCAAGAGAGAGAGGCTGGATTTGAGGAGCTAGTAGAAGGCCCAGCAAGAGAGGCTATGAGAATCTAGATTTGAAAGGTGATTAGCCCATCTAATCGCCTTTAAAATCTTGATTCTCATAGCATCTCTCTCTCTCTGCTTTGTTTTGCTCTCTTCTCACTTGAGCAAAGAAGGAAGGCTATTTAGAGATCCTCTCTCTTCCTCCCCTTTGCTTTTTTCTCTGGGGGGTAAATATGCCAATTTATTGATGTCAAAGGCCAAATGGGTTATGCCCCTCTCTCTTTCATGACTCTCGTCTCTGTTGAATGAGTAGGGGGATTACATGCGACCGGGATATGTTGCTACTACCCATTGATTTGTTGCCAGTTATGAAAATGCAATTACGTTTTTATGCATCTAAACAAACATCGATCTCTCTCTCATCAAATGCAAACAACGTTTTCATACACCTCTCTCTCTCTCTCTCTCTCTATGTTCTCTTTTTGCGTCTCTTCATTTTTTATTTGTAAAACCTTATTGTGTTACTAGCTAAACACGTGCTCTACAAATTTGTTTTGTCTAAGTGAAGAACTCTTACTTTTCTTTATAGTTTATACTATATGGAGGCATTTTCACCTTTAAAAAAATAAAAAATGGTCTACAAAAAAACCATTTATCTTTTTTTAAAGGATTTCATAATCACTCTTCTTTTAAATTTCAAACTAGGTGGTTGTAAGAGTGTCTATATATCATTTTTCCCTACCATTATCAAGCTTGCTAAAGAGAGGTGATGGGATTCCATTTTTTGTTAAAAAATTCTTGGAATAGTGAGAGAGAGAGGGCTGGGGGATGGAGCGGGGATAGGCTCAGACTCTCTAGGACCTTGAGCCAAAGCCCCTTGCTTTGACTTGGGCAACTCTCAAATCAAAGGTAGATATTTCAATATAGAAAATAGTAAAATTTATTGAAGTACCTATGAGAAATGAACTATTTAACGTTCTACCCACATTTTTATTTAGTTTTAAAATGCTCGACAAAATTAACGTGATCATAAGTTGGAATGATTGTAAATAGATATAATTTCAAGGGGGAAATGTGGGCAAGTTTTGAAATAAAGAGGTTACAATCATCATTGACTTTGAGATTTAAAATTGGTTGGCTGATGTTATTTTATTGTTTAGGCACAAAATTTAAAATAAAATTTTTTAAATGTTGTGATATTGTTATCTATTAGATTTTATATCTAATGATTAAAAATGATTGTGACCTTCTTGTATTAAAAGTAAATAATCTCATAGCATACAATCATTTTTAAATAAGGGAAAGGTTTCTATGCTTACCCTACAGCATAGAAGTTCTATCCTTCCTCTACCATTCAGTCGTGCAATTTTGATCAAGAGAGCTATTCACCGTTTGATCTTAGATCCAACATTTCAAAAGTATTTTATTTTTAGTTTTTTTTTATAAAAATTATATGAATATGAAATTTGATGCGTCTATCTTCTCATTGGGGCATACTAAATATTAAAAATAATTTTTTGAAAAAATATAATAACCAAAATACCCCTTGAATATTTCAAAGGTATTTTGATCATTTTATTTTATTGAAAATATTTTTTGTTAGTGCGAGTTTAATAGAGGAATGGACTTCCAAAATTTGGTGTCAAAATAGTTCATAAAAAAAATTAAAAATAAAATAGTGTAAAGACATGACATTGTGATTGGGACAATCTTAACCCTCCATTTAGAATAAACGGTTGGATAAAAGGGAAAATAGAACTTCAGGAGAAACATTGCCCTTTAAATAAATCTCTTACAGGTATTTTGATAAATTTCCCTCAAAAATAACATTCAGGGACTATGGAAGGTCAGTCTTGCGATTTTAGACCAGTCAGCTCCTCACCTAAGTCAACTCTGGCTCGTTCCTACTCATCATGTCGGTGATTTTTTTAACACCAAAAAAAACTGAATACGAGAGTGAAGAACCGAGTGGCCAAGACTTCAGTCTCTACAACTCGGAAGTTGATGCCTTGTTTCTTAAGACAGCGTTCACTGTTGAGTTGATACCTCGTTTAGTACATAAGAACTAATAAAACAAAATAAAGACCACTTGATCATGGGGGACATACTCTAAGAAACCCGCTCCCCATAACATCGCCATTTAGAATGCGACTTCCACTATGCCACATTTATTTATTTCTTTACGTTACGTCTCGCTCACGTGAGATGGGAAAAAGTTTTGAAGAAATATCTCTTTATCTTTTATTTTTACCTTCCATATATCACGAGCTTTAAAAATTTGAGAATATTACTTGTAAGTAAAATATCTCAATCTTTTCTATCTTACAACCCTCTAGATCCTTTGATCATAATTTTTTTACCCAAACAAACATTAAAATAATACATTATTCAAACTCTATATCTCTCTCTAAAACTCCATCTCTCTCTCTCTTCGCTTCTCGGTGAGGTTACCAGCCAAGAGATTTAGCTTGAGCTCGAACACGAGCACACCTTATATGTGAGAGAGATGAATTTTTAAAAAGAGAGATGAAGTTTGAGTTTGAGAGAAGGAGAATTTTGAAAGAGAGAAATATGAAGTTTGAGTTTTAAAAAAAAATCGAGTTTTCAAAGAGCGACGATACGATATATATATATATATATATCATTTTATAAATTGTTGAGGTTAATAATACAAAAATCAAATGAGTTTAAAAAGGTGGAACATAAAAAAAATAAAATCTTTTTGTTAACAAATAATATTGATATAAAAGTTAAAAATAGATAATAATAAGATATTTTCCCAAAAGTTTACCCTAATTTGCAAGCAAAAAAGATGCATCGAAATCAATTGGTGTAAAAATATTCCTATACCTAACCACATTACTTGAAAGAAATCTTTTACGTGAAGTTTTTTTTTTTTGAAAAATATTTTTTCATGCAAAGCAAACTTGCCCTTAATGTTTTCAATGGAATTGAATAAGAGAAACAATACTTCTAACTTAGAAATATATCTATTTTTCATCCAACATGAAGCTAGAGCAACCTATGAGGGAGTAACTTCAAGGCCAAATCGGAATTGAGAAAACATAATTTTGAGGGAAAAAATAATAAATACGAAAAGCCATGAAAACTCAGTCATTGCCAGAGCTTGTGCAGATCAAACCAATTTTCAGAGACGAAATGAGGTGGAGATCAGTTATAGATGCTCAAGTCTCCGAAACTCAGCAATTTTCAGAGAAAGAAAGAAAAAATTGGACACCGGTTAGATGTTCGAATCTCCAAAACTTGGTATTGTGATCCATATAATCATGTTAACAGTGTGGTTAGGGGTCATCACCATCTCACCAATGAGTTGAATAGTGATGGGGGATGCTGGTCCCACAAAACAAGTCACTAATCTGGAGGTCTTATCCCCTTCCATCACCGTCCAGTCCATCGATGTTGACCCCTGTTACAATATAGTTTCAATTGTTTTTTTAAAAAAAAACACGACAATCATTTGGGTATTACTACTATTAGGTTCCCTAATCTTACTGCCACTGCACCACTAATACCCCTAAAAAATGAGAGAACAAGCAACATTCCCATATGTCCATAGCATTACAAAACAATAAAACAACATTAACCAACCAAACCAAAATTCAGTTGTCTGGAGTCACCAAAAAGTTAAAAACAAACTAATAAATAAAAATAAAAATAGACTCACAAGAATAAATCAACAAAATTTTCACCTCTAATTCGCCCTTGGGGTCGCCCACTCAACGCGGAGAATGAGGTTATCATACCCGTAGCCATTGAGCTTGTTGATTGCCCTCTCTGCATCCTCCTTATTGACAAAGTTCACAAACCCAAACCCACGGCTCATGCCTGTCTTTTGGTCCACAGCCACATAGACTCTACTCACCGAGCCAAAGGTTCGGAAAAGCTCCAGCAAGTCGGGCTCTCTTGTGTCCTCAGAAAGGTTAGTGACTCTTACTGAATTCTCTTCATTTCTCCTCCTCATTTCAGTTCCGGTCTTCCCACCCGCACCACCTCTCATGCTTGGTGGGACATAAGTGCCCTTGGTGGGCCCATCTTGGGCAGGGCCAGCGGGCCCTTCAGCTGCGGAGGGCCTGTCGATAAAGGACTCAGTGGATGAGGCGAGGTCTTTGTAAGGGCACTTTGACGTCCAGTGATCGCCCTTCTTGCCACAAGTACGACACACCATAAGGACGGCACCACCCTTGCCCAGGGCGGCTAGGGGGTCGCCAGCAGTCTTGGGTTCTTCAGCTTTGCTACCTGTAGTGAGAGAGTGGGCAACACATATGAGGAGATGTGAGCGGATGGATATATAAGGTTTAAAGTGCTATTCTCTCTCTGTCTCTTCTTTAGTTGAGATTGGGAGTTTCTCTTCTCATCCACTGTAGACTATAATAAGAGGGTGCGCACAAGGAGGGACTCAATGTCGAGAGAGAGAGAGAGAGAGAGAGAGAGATTTTGGCTTCTCTCTATGTTTTGAGGTAATATAAAGTGTTTTAAGTTGAATGAATGACCAAGTGATGAAATATTCCATTATATACTAACTACTCCTTCATGGAAGATATCATCCTTTGGGCAAACTTAATGGAGGATGCAAAAACTACAAGCATTCTATTCAACAGTACTTTAGAAGTAAAACAAAAACAACAGAGTATTCTATCACAAATAAAAAAAATACCCACAGCAGAAATAGGTTGCAGATCTCCATTTGCCACAGGCAATAATATATCAGTAACATCGGCATGATATACTTTGTGAAGAGCAACAAAAAAAAAAGAATAGTTCCTACAACGATTCCATTTTCAGAGGCTACCCAACTTTAGAGCTATTGGGAATGTCAACAAATAACCTACTAAAAGCACAAAAGAGTCTGTACCAGTGTTTAAAAACACAAGCACTGGGTGGAACACAACAGGGTTCCGTACCTAAGTCACTTGGACTAACTTGGACAAGTCCCAAATCGAACCGGATATTGCTTTTTGAACCAGATGTTTTCACAAATTTATGTTAAAAAACCAGAGACTGGGGGCCGCTCCAGATGGTTTTTTCTCAGGACTCCAATGGGCCTGAGCTCAGCCAACTTGGCCATTCCCAAGCCGAGTCTCCAACTTTTTAATCACTTGACTCTGTATTCCTTGATAGTTTGATATCATCCTGCCGTCAGTCTTTTGAGACAAGTAACAAAATGTAATGCTCAGCCGAAATTGATCATTGTTTTATAGAGGAATTTCAATAGCCTCTAAAAGTATTAAATTATGGAAAACATTTATATAGAGCCGAGGCTCTAAACAATCAAATTAGAGCCCACCTAAAAGATTTTATTAGAAGATGTTGTTTTGATGCCCAAATATCCTCCAATTGATCATCTCGATATCAAGATGCATGGACATGAGAAAAAAACGGATTTCAAGTTTTGGAAATGGTGCATCTTATAACGCATTTTTGGATAGTGAATTTTCAAGATTTTCATAGATCTGCTCGAACTACACTATTTTTTAAGCTTTAAATTTTATCATTAAAGATTAAAATATATTTTAAGGCTATCACAAAGATTTCCAGTATTGAAACCACATTTCTTGACACTATTTGAATGTGTGTTTTACTTTGATTGTTTAGAGCCTCGGCTCTATACAAACCGCACCTTTAGTTATACACTGGCCATCAGTACAAGCTTAAGGCAAGTAAAAATACCATATGGACTAGATATTCTATCCAGCACAAGCTTTCTTTTCTTCTTCTTTTTTTTTTGCTTCTTTTTTTAAATTGGTAAATAGCACCCAGCTCACATTCTGGCTTCTACACCACCTCTTCAGAACCATGTTCCAGCCATCTATTACTTCTTCATGGGGCAACATATCAATCTCTAACCTCCAATCTAGGGTACAACCTCAAATACGGCAAAAAAATGCTATTGAATGTGACAAGAATTTTACAAAAACACTACATCTCATATCAACGTATACATAAAATTACATCTCCTATGCTTGCAATTCTGAAGAATACAAACATTTATTGCTCTTTGTTTTAGCCATAGGATCATGAATTACTGACCTTTTCCCTCCAACATATCATTTACTGACTCATAGTAAGTTCACTTCTCATACTTCGAACCTACCTGCCAATTGAAATTTTTACTGCACATCATTCTACCGTACAATCCCATCCTATATCCTAGTCTTATGATAAACCTCTAAGATTAATAGCCGCCTAGTCCTCTAGTTCAAACTTTAACCTCTCAAAAATCACTCTTTTTTTTTTTTAAAGAAATTAACATTGTGTTGCTAAAAAGGATGTACAAGTACAAAAAATGGCTACCACCAAAGGGGAGCAATATACAAAAACCACAGAGATGGTGAACTATATCCAAAAATGCTGTACACCTCCTATTATCACCTCCTAATTCCTAATAAAGTTGTAACTAAGGGTCTATCATGTGCCCCACCAATCCCAAGTTTTTTAACTTCAGGATAAACCATAAGAAATGTTTTAAAATAAACATTCAAAAGATTGCCCCTGTGCAAGACATTTAATGATGATCTTGGCTAATAATTCTCACAAAACAGATTTCACAACTAAGGTTTTTTCCTTTAACACTGTCATCATTTTTTTGAACTCTTAACAATATATAACTATTAGGAATAATGTAAAATGTCCTAATGCGAAGTGAATGTAAGGCAACCCACAAGTGCTCAAGAAAAGAATTGCTCGAGTATTAACAAAAAAATGAGTGATGGCTTCAGTGATGGGAAGTCCCCTCGTTGGGTGCTCAAAGCCCTCGTGCAGGTGAGAGAGGATGGAGAGAGAGTTAAAAAAGCAGCGAGAATGAGCGGAAGAAATAATTTGGTGGGTGTTTTTTTTCTTTTCTTTTGTGGTTTCGGTTTTTTGTTCCCGGGGGGGGGGGGAATAGAAGGAAAGAACAGGGGAGGAACAGAAATGAGAGAGAGAAAGAGGGGGGAGGAGAAGAAATGAAGTGTAAGAAGGCAATTGAGAAAATGGAGAACATAGGCAAGGAGGTTAGAGATAAGAGTAATCAGACGAAATCAGCGAGGGAAAGAGAAGTGGGGAAGGGGGGAAGAATTAAAGTATGGAGAGGAACATAAAAAGAGGCTGAGAAGGTAGAGGAATGGTGGTTATAGAGTTGTTATCATTTCTGTCATCGTTAATTAGAGAGTAATAGTTCCAAATCTTATCATAATGACAAGTGGTTCATTATTGTCACTGAGAAGTTCACCATTAATAGTACCACTAATACTTATTAAGTTTGAATTATTAGTTATTAAAGTATGAACTGATATTAAAGACAACTCTCTCTCAAATAGAAATATGAATGTGGAGAGATATACCATTTCTTTTATAATGAAAGTCACAGATAGATGGATTAGACAATTATCAACTCAAATGTGTGGATACATATATATATTTTGTTATGATTCTAAAATTCAATGTATGAAATTTTATGGTAATATGAGATTTGGACCAACTCCAAATCATTGGGATAAGGCTTGGATGATATGATGATGAAGAGATTTGGACCGACTCCCAATTTTAACATCTTCCCAACATTCCTTCAGAGCATCAAGTCACCAGATCACCCTCTCCACTAACCAAACAAACAAAACTGGTAAACAAAGCAAGCCCCATCAACTTTTTTCTTTTTTAGTTCAGGTCATCAGGTGTAAGAATCAAACTCTGGACATCAAGCTAGGTGAGCAAGCTTAGGATTCAAACCATTGACCTCTCACCTCGACTGATAGGTTTACCACTACGCCGAAGCTTTGCGAAACCACAACATCGTTCCAAAGTATAATTCACCAACCTCTCAAAATAGAGCCTAACCACAGTGTTGATTCCTCTCCTCTGACCTGTTCTTGTTCATCTCAACTCAGCAGAGTATCCATTCTGCTCCACAAGCCCCTAAACCCTTTTCATTAGAGATTAGATCGTCTGCAAATCTCCTCATTGCCACCTAACATCACCTACTCAACCACCAGAACTTCTCCCATGCTTTTCTCTTGCACAATCTTCTCTTTCATGCTTTCTTTGAAGTTAGTGATAGCACCTTATCATATGCATGGGAGGATTGAATCAATAAACATTACTTCTTTCTTGGTAGATATAATTTTAACTATTGCTAATACTAGAAATCACTTGGACCACCAACTAGTAGTTCATCAATTTGTTTTCCATCTCATTAATGTGCATCCTCCTCTTCCACATAGAAGCCACTGATCTATTGCCTGCTAAGCCTTCATAACGCCAAACTTTTAGTTACAAATGAAAAAAAAAAGCCCACCTTTCAGTTAACCACCAAACCATTAAACCCTAACTCACACCTACCCCACTTTAAAAACCAACAAGTTTCTTGCCCTTTAACTCCATAAGTAGTTACATATTTTTTGAATTAAGAGTAGTTATATATTATCATCCTGCAAATACTTATACATATTCCAAAACCATACTAACATGAGTAATAATTCTCCAAAATCACATGAATGTCAACAACAAATTGTCACCAGTTACACCTAAACAGTAAAAGATAAAAGACCTGCAAAAGAAACAACCCATAAAAACCTGGCTATGTGCATGTCCTTTCCAAATATGCCTTTTCTTAAGGTAATTTCTCCAAGTATGCAACTTTCTGAAGAAAGTACAGAAATTTGCAGAATACATATCTCTTCTTAGAACAAATTTCAATTCTGAGGTATCAAGGCTCTCAGTATCTCGGCTAACTGAATCGTAAGTAACTCAAGAAAGGCAAAACAAAAATACACAAACTAGGAAAAAAAAAAAAGCCGCGAGATGTATAAATCAGGTTAATAAAGTAAACCCTGTAACTCATGACGAAATCCTAGATAAAGAAAACAGATAAAGAAACTACATCGTAGAATTCATAACAAAACCCAAGGTGAATAAATCATTATTATTACTTTGAAACTGAGATGAATAAATCATATTAAGACACTAAATCCTAGAAATCCTAAAAAATCCACAGATTCAGAAATGAAACCCTACAACTCGTAACAAAACCGTAGATGAACAAACTAAACCCTACCATTCGGACCAGAACAATAGATTTAGAAAACAATCCCTAAAAAATGCATAAAAACCCCCATAAAACGCACCTGGAGCTCTGGGCTTCTCTAACAAGATCTCCTCGGTGGAGACCATAGTGAGCCTGCTACCCGCGTCCTCATGAGCAGCGTCCCCAAACTTCTTCCACTGCCTTCTCTCTATCGCCCTCTTTGATAGACGAGCTTTAGCAAGCTTTCTAGTTCTCGAAGTGGTCACGATTTTAACCTTGTTTCCAGCGTCATCGAACTTGAATTCAGTCACCCTTTTCACGCCATGCTCATCCGGGCCTTCAACTTGACGAGGAGGGAGAAGGAAATCGAGGTCCTCTGCATCATCTTCATCAAGCTCTCCCCATCGAAGCTTGTTCTGAGCATGAGAAGCCACATCCACCGCCATTGTAGCACTGGTTTATGCTTCTTTTTAGAGAGAGAGGAAGGAAATGAAGGGTTTCTTAGAAAGTGAGGATAGAGAGAAAATTAGGGTTTTTTTTAAGTCTCTGCAAGTATCTTTGATGGAAAGACGAGATGGCCTCGACTTGGATATTTGACGTAGACCTTTCTTCTACAGTATAAGGTTGAAACCTCACAAACTCTTTCCTGTGGACCAGGAAACCACTTACAACGCTTAGGAACTAATTTCTACGCTCTTTCGCTCGTGGCTCATCACTATTCCGTTTATTAGATGGTTATAATTAGTATTTAAATTTTAATAAGTTTTTTACAAATTAAATTAACCTAAAAATTTGGGGATGTGCGCTTTAGTAAGTCGCACTTAAGTAAAATATAAAAGAATGGCTCAAATAATAAAAATGACCTTCCCTTTAATATTTTAGGGTAATTATCTCAAATATACTTATATTTTAGTTTAATTGAAAAAAAAAAAAATCAACTTTCAAAAACGTCTTCTACACCATTTTTTCTCATTTTTTAGTTTTTTCAGAGAAAATGAGCTTCACGGTAGTCATAATTCATATTAAGTTTTACGATAATTAAAATATCGTAATAACTTGAAGTAGTATTATGGTAATTAAAATATTGTAATAACTTGAAGTCGTATTACAGTACTTTAAGTACCGTAATAAATAACATTTTCTTTACGGCATTCTTTATACCTTGATTAGGCAACATGTATGGCTTCCTTCTCGACCAATGAGGGAGATGAAAGATATATGAGACTGGGGAGAGAAAGGGGTTTGTATGTGAGATAGAGAGACTTGAGAGAGAAAGAAGGAGAGAAAAGTTTTGTGGAGAGAAAGAGAGAAAGTTTAGGGGCGGATGGAGATGAAATAGAGATAAGGATGGGCGGGAGAGTTAATGTGATAGACATGGTTTATTAGGGGGATTGAGAGAGATAGAGGGAGAAAGTTGAGAGAAAGAGGAGTACATGGGATTAAAAGTGCTCTAGAAAATGAGTTAAACATTACGGTAGTTGAAGTACCATATAAAATGGAAACATTACGGTAGAAATAATGCCGTAAAGAAAATGTTATCTATTATAGTATTTAAAGTAGCATAATACTACTTCAAGTTATTACGGTATTTTAATTACCATAATATTACTTCAAGTTATTGCGGTATTTTAATTGCCGTAATACTACTTCAAGTTATTATGGTATTTAATTACCGTAATACTACTTCAAGTTATTATGGTATTTTAATTATCCTTAAACTTAATAAGAATTATGGTAAAACGACTACCATGAATGTCATTTTCATCCCAAAAAACCCGAAAATGAAGAAAATTAGTGTAGACGAGGTTTGTGAAAGTTGGGTTTTTTTTTTCCAATTAAGCTAAAATATAGGTATATTTGCGATGAGATTAATGACACTATGAGACCCTCCCACACCTATGTGAGTAAGACCCCAAAGGATCACCATTAAATTTTGATACAAATCTATAGGAAATTTATGACATGGGTGTGGGACTTGGGTGAATAGGTTTATTGTTAACTTTTCTAGATATCTATGTCAAAATTTAATGGTAGACGTCAAAATTTAATGGTAGACCTTTGGGGTCCTACTCACATGAGTGTGGGAGGGTCTCATAGTACATTACTCTTGCAATAATTACCCAATATTTTATAGGTATTTTTATTATTTTATTTTTGGAAAATTATTATTTTTATATCCGAGTTAGTTGAAGCACACATGCTCCAAAAAATCTATTGAAACTGATTTGTAGAAATTTTTCTAATGAATATGATTTGTAGAAATGTTTTGAAAATTCAAATATTATTAGACAAACATGATCTTATAATGGATTTTGGATGGTGATGAGCTATGAGCAAAAAACTGTAGAAATGCACTTGTGAGTATTTGTAAGTGTTTTCCGTGTGTTTATGGATATAAAGAAAAGAAAAGAAAAAAGAAAAAAACAAGTATTAAAAACAGTGGATCTTGTAATAAGTTATTTTGATATTATATTTTTAAGATTTTCAAGTGTTTATAGATTTACTTGATCCGTAATGTTTTAACAAAACTTAATTTTCATAATTACGATTGAACATAGATTTTCAAGCTATCATAAGATTTTCGACACTAGGCCTTATACAAACCTCACCCATATTTAAATTATGCATTGAATAGAGGATATTTATGTAAAAAGATCAAATATCATTGAAATACTCAGATTGCTTAAAAATAACATTTAAATTTGGGAGTAACACTAAGGTCGTTCAACCAAATAATCCACCAAGAAAGGGCTTATTTCCAGGGCAATGTTTACAGGAGGATGTTAATCTTAAACAATCAAAGTAATACACACTTTCAAACCCCATTGGAAGAAGTAATTTTGGTATCACGAACGTCATGGGTTTGAAAATATATTTTCATCTCTAAGTACAATTTTTGACATACCAAAATTAGTGTAGAACAAACAAACCTAAAATCTTCGAAGTGAGTGGTCCATATGATGTGTAACAAAATGTACTATTTTTAGAACTTAAAATCTTAATTTTTTTTTTATATCCATGTACTTCGAGATCAAGATAGTCAATTTGAAGGTTTTTCAATATTTAAAGAGCATTCTCTTCGGTTCTTTTGAGGTGCGTCTTACTTTTACCATACTCACAAAAACCCCATTCTTTTCATGAAACTATTTCAAGTAGGTGCCTTATATTTTAGGGAAATTATCGCAAATATATCTTCATTTAAGTTTAATTGGAAAAAAAACTCTAAACTTTTCTTTATCTCATCTACACATTTTTCCTCATTTTTAATTTTTTTTTTTTTACCAAAATGACATTCACGGTAGTCGTATATTACCGTAATAGTTAGTGCACGTTATACGGTACTTTAAGTACCGTAATAGTTAGTGCACGTTATACGGTACTTTAAGTACCGTAATACTTAAGGAATTTTATACGGTACTTTCAGTACCGTAATACTAAGGGCATTTTATACGATACTTTAAGTACCGTAAACTCACACTAACCCTTATACGGCATTTTAAGCACCATAAACACTAACCCTTATACGGCATTTTAAGCACCATAACACTAACCCTTATACGGCATTTTAAGCACCATAAACACTAACCCTTATACGGCATTTTAAGCACCATAAACACTAACCCTTATACGGCATTTTAAGCACCATAAACACTAACCCATGTTATATGGCACTTAAAATGCCGTAAACCCTTTTTTCATTATTTTTATCTCTTTCATCTTTAATTTTTTTTATGTTTATCTATTTTTTCTCTCTCTAGTTTTTTTAAAATTTGTATATCTTCTTTCTCTATCTGCAATCTCATCATCATTTCCTTAGATAGAGTAATCAAACAGTGACTTTGGCTATACAAAACAGAGGACATAATCTACGGAAACAATGATGAGATTGTGGAGAGAAATAAGAGATAAAAAAGAATTAGAGAGTGAAAGAATATATAAATATTAAAAAGAATTAGAGAGAAAAAATAGATAAATATAAAAAGAATTAGAGATGAAAGAGATTAACATGATAAAAGGATTTACAACATTTTAAGTGTTGTATAAGATAGATAAGTTTTTACGGTACTTAAAATACCGTATAATGGGTTTTAGTTTTTACGGTACTTAAAGTACCGTAATTGGCTTCACGTTTTTACGGTACTTAAAGTACTGTAATATTACTTGAAGTTACTACGGTATTTTAAATACCGTATGAAATGATATATATTACGATAGTAAGAGTACCGTGAAAGTCATTTTGGTCCAAAATAAGTCGAAAATGAGAAAAAATGGTGTAGACAAGGTAAACGAAAGTTTGAAGTTTTTTTTTTCAATTAAGCTTAAATTAAGGATATTTGCGATAATTTCTCTATATTTTATTAGAAATGCGCAAAATCTCTTGTCAAGATGTTTCCACCTAAACCCAATCAATGACATATTCATAAAATTTTATGTAAGACATGAAGGGCTCAATCTAGGGTAAGAGAATTTAATAATAAATAATTATGGTGCGTTTGGAATCTAAAACAAGTGTGAGTGATGCAGACCATTTAAATCAAAGTAAATAATAAATTGCTAATGCTCGTTCCAAGTTTCGAACATTGTGACAACATGTTTTATGTTCTTAACCTAAAACAGGTAGAGATATTTACATCATTTGACTTAATCACTTAAGTGGTCCAACTTACAAATATTTCGACCATAAATATAGGCACTTCACATCATTCTAGGCAATATAGTTTAGGACATAATCGAATGACACAATATGAAAGTAACCATTTTATTGTAAATTGATTGATTTGACCACATTAGTGGAATATTTGAATAGATTTGGGTTTTTTGTGATATTTAATATTTGTTTTTGTTTATGAAAAACTATTCCTTAAATGGTAAAAAATTGCCTAATGTTTTGAAATAGCTAAAATTTTCTAAATAACTTTTATTGAGACTCGGCCCAGTTGTACTTTGAATCATGTTCAATACCTACGAGTCATAATCATAATCTGAATTTCAATTGCATGTTTTTAAGTGAATGCAATGAGGAACTATAGCACAAGAATGACCAGGGCTATAAAGGTGATTAGGTGTCATAATATGACTTCTAGAGTTCTATTTCTATTGATTTCTAGAGCTAATATTGAATAATAATAATAATAATAACAACAACAACTACTACTACTACTACTACTACTACTGTAGGTTGTGATTTCATACTCATGCTTGCTCTAACTGGTATGCCAATAAACAAAAATAAGTGAAAATAATCCATTAGTCCATAGGATATCATAATATAACAAGCAAACTAAGGAGCAATCATAGGAATCAAATATTAGATAAGTAATTTATGATTTTGCCCCTTCATCAAAATTATAGTGGTTTCTTGAAAAAATACCTATGTGACAAGCTAGGAATTTTCAAATACCAATATTGCTCTTTAAACACTTCACAAGAAATTCATTTATACATATTCTAATGTTTCGCGAGTGATTTGTTTAATGAGATGGTGTCAAAAGATAAAAATTTCACATTAGGGTGTAGAGTGAAATACTGGTATTTGAAATCACCAATATCTCTTGAAAATTAAATGCCATTGAGATATTGGAATTCAAAGGTACCAATATCTAACTAGGTGATTTAGGGAGTAACTAATTTTGAAAATACCCATTATGGTAATTCAATTAGTGAAATACTATCATTTGAAAATACCAATACCCTAGTAATCTATTTAGTGAGATATTAACGTTAAAAAGTACCGATATATTTAGATAGAGATACTAGTAGTAAAAAAATACCAATTATAATGTTCTTTCATTGTGATAGAGAGAGAAAGTAAATACCCATCCAACAATTTCCAGCCTATTGATCAAATGGCATGACAATATATTCCATTAAGGGTTTTTTGACAAAAAAAGTCATAAACATCTCAAGCTATCACAATGAAATAAGATGGTTGGCATACGTCAATTCTCTCCACAAAATTTACAAATATTTTGTTAAAGACTTCAAGCGTGGTTCGTGCGGTCCATGGTATGCCCTCAATTACCCCGTCAGACATCCGTTGAGCATTAGGGGCTTTCGAGACCCTATTGTATCAAAGGTAAACTGTCTTATGATTATCGCATGTATTTTAGAAAAAAGAAAAATAGATAAAATATTAGATAGTATATTTTTTGAAAATGATTTGATAAATTTTCGTTTCTTTTATATTAGAGAATGAGTCTCATGGTAGGAATGAAACTCAATATGTCATGACATCATCACTTTAACCACATATGCCTTAAGTCAATTTCATATATTTCGTCTTAGTCAAGCTAATTTTGAAATATTTAAACTTTAAAATATCCCTCAAAAGTTATAACTTTGTGTTAATGATATCTCTAGTCTCAACCGAAATATACACATCATCTAGCACGTGCTAATCAACAACCGTCCATCACGGAGATCAAAGGCAACTTTTGATGATGCTTGTTTATATTTATTTTCACCATTGGTGGATACCCTGAGTTACATGCAATCCAAAAAATCCATTGGTGGTGCCCCGTATAGTTAAATGTGCAGCATGAGAATCAATGTTTTAAAACCCAACAATTTCTAATTCAAATCACCAATTGGATGGAAATTAGTAAGGAGGAAATCGGTTTCAGGATGGTACGAGTCTCGATCTCGTTTACCTTAAACCTATTTGATATATTTATATTCCGTCTTTTAAAATTTATTTAATATTTTATTAGGTCCTCATAAAATTCCACCCTATAAACGTTATTTTTTTTAAATTTTGGGTAATGATCCTATGAGATCTTCCGACACCTATGTATGTAGGATTCTAAATAATCACTATTAAATTTGACACAAATTTTTAGAAAAGTTAAGTCTTACACCCATGTAATAATTTTTTTAGAGATATGTGCCAAATTTAATAGTAATCATTTGGAGTCCTATACATATGGATGTAGAAGGGTCTCACATGATCATTTTTCTTTCATTTTATTTATTTATTTTTCAATAGTTTATTTGGTTAATTGATTCATGTCTATTCATATTCAATCCAAATTGCCGATCCAATAACTCGATACGGATCCATGGGTGAACAATCCTTTCGATCCGGATTTTGAAATGGCGACGGGTTTTTTATGAGACCAGAAAACATCCTCTCGCTCCATTTGTCCCTTTCTACTATGTTTGTCTTTCTTTCTAAAAATCATCAGACAACTATTTTCGTCATGTGATCTCTTTTTAATACCTGGAATCAGAGAAAATGCAGGCGAAGAATTTTGCCTTCAATCTCAGGTAGGATGTAGAGAGAGAGAGGAGTGAGAAAAAGGCGTTGATTAGAGAGGGTGAGAAAGAGAGAGAGAAGAGAGAAAAGGGGTTGATTAGAGAGAGAGGATGTCATTTTCATTTTTTAGACCATCATCAAGACCCAAGAGTCCAGCTGAGCTTGTGAGAGCCATTAGGGATTCTCTCGTTGCTCTCGATGCCAAGACCGTTGCAGAAGTTCAAGCCCTAGAAAAGGTAAACTAATTGATGAAAAAATCGCCTTTTTATGTTTGTTTTCCCACAATTTGCTCTCTCTCTATCTCCCCACAATTTCCCCACAATTGTTTTCCCCACAATTAGTAGTGTAATGGAGAAAATATATTTTCTTTGTTTCTAATCTCATTCTTATGATATTCACTCTGGATACTTTTATTGAAGTGTCTTGAGCTTTCAAGGCATTGAAATTAGGACTTGGGTGATATTTCAATCGGCTCAGATGATGAATGTTCATGAAATTGGGTTTCTCAGATTTATCTCAAACTAGTCCAGTGGCATTCTTCTTTGAATTTTTTATTTTTTGCTAAGAATCTTGTTGATCATTTACTTGGGTCTTGCTTTTATATTTTGCTGAGAATCCTGTTGATCATTTACTTGGGTCTTGCTTATTGATTGTAATTGTGTCTAAATTTCTTGATTAATTGTTGCTATGTTTCAATAATAAAGGGGACAAAATGATTTTTTTTTTCTTTAATTGTATTGTTTAATTGGTTGTTTTATTTGAAGTGGGTGCAATATTCTTAATTGATTGCTGAATGCTCCAATTATTATGATGAAAAGGAGGGTCCATCTGTCTTTAATTATATTATCTACTTGGTTTTGGGTAAATTTTGATAGGGACTAGCCTTAATTTGCTGCAGGCTTTAGAAGAGGTTGATAAAAACTTCCTTTCAATGAGACAAATGCTCTTAGGAGATGGAGATGTGGAACCAATTCCAGATCAAGTTTCACAGATCACCCTTGAAGTTTGCAAGGAGGGTGTCCTTGACCTCTTTGTTCACAAATTGCCTGTTCTTGGGTGGGACGTGAGTTCATACTAAATTGGTGAATTGGTTTTCCGATGAATTCTTTGTTGGCTTATCTTGGTTGTTTTTTAATAGGCTCGAAAGGATTTAGTACATTGTTGGGGGACTCTGTTGAGGCAAAAGGTTGGATCTAGTTATTGTTGTGTGGGCTATATCGAGAATCATTCGGAGCTGTTAGAGTTCCTAGTAACATGGTTGGTTGATTTCTTTTCCTTGTTCCTAATTCTTACATTGTTTTAATTGTTCGTTCTGGAATTCCTTTTTTCATGCATCAATATTCTCAAATTCTTATGATATTGTTCTTATTAAGTCAGTTGATTTTATCTTGCATGATGTGTTCATTCGGAAACTGCAAGTAACTTTTAGCACATGTAGCTTCTGATCTTTAATTCTAATCACTCCTTTTGAAGCTCTTTGTGCATTTTGAGGGTTGCTCAGAAATTCCTTTTCTTGTCTAGCTGCTTACATTATGTATTCTGTCTATTCACACCCAAAACACTTGTCTCTATTCTATGATGTGTATATACAAAATAGATCCCTAGACATGCAGAGAAACCATTACATGTTCATGTCTTATATAAATTAATATATGCAAGTGCATGTAATTTGTCATATAACCATACATGTCGCTGATTGATGAATATTTTTTCCTGTGGCAGCTATGATAACAAAGAAATTGCTTTGAACTGCGGGAATATGTTGAGGGAATGTATCAAGTATCCAATACTCGCAAAGTAAGATATTAACCAGTTCTTCATATTTGTAATTTGTTCGTTTGTTTAACTTGGTTTGCCATTAGCATATGGCAAAGTCTTGGAGGATGCGTAGAAGTCTTAATCTACATGAAAGAGTACACCCGAAACAAGACTAAAGTGTTGCAGTGTCATGAATGATTTTTGGCTGCCAAGTAATGAGTAACTCTCAAAGAGGGCTCTCCCTTAACTATGAGGCATGCTTAGCTTCAGGCAATATATAATCAAACTTTATGTGAAATACACCAGAAATGGGTTCGCCAACTAATTAGTAATGATATATATATAGAACTTTAAAGTTCAAACACGATGCTTGTATACATGATTGATAACAAAATGACGAGAGAGGAAGAGAGGGTGATAGAAGTTTTAAACACCTAATGTGTTCTTTTATATATTGGTGTCCCTTTTTTTGCACAACTCCGTTCTCATTTAAAGGTAAAATAATGGGAAGCATATGATTTCTTTGTCTTTAGGAAGAATTATGTGGATATCTTGCTTTTTCTTGTGATTGATTTGCCATATCTTCCCTTTCAGATATATGTTGGAATCAGCCAGCTTTGAACTATTCTTCAAGTTCGTGGATCTTCCAAGCTTTGATATTGCTTCTGATGCTTTCGCTACTTTTAAGGTAAGATTCCTTGCCTTCTAACTTCTCATTTCTATTTGTTGCAAAGCAGCTATTGCAGAATCGCTTACATGGATTTACCTATTGGATGTCTGGTGCTTGTTCGTTTAGAGGTGCACTCTAAATTAGATATTTTGGCAGGATCTTCTCACCAAGCATGAGACTATGGTCTCTGAATACCTAAACGCTAATTATGAAAAGGTTAGCTCGAATCTTGCTATTTCTATATATTTAACTAAAGCGAGCATCGGTTGCTAGTTCTTCGTAAATTTTGATGGTAGTCTTGGGAATGCGTTGTTCAATTTATTTGCCTATACTTTTGAATACTTAACAAAAGACACCCCCACATCCATATTTTGTATGCCCTTATAATTATATATTATGTGTCTGTGTGTGTCGTTCACAAGCAGTGTCATTTTCCTTGAATTTTTAGTCTAAGATTTGCTGAACTCCTCTACATTGGCCCCAAATTCCTAAATTTGGTTGTTTTCCTAGGGCTTTATTGATGTTTTATTCAAAATGACATTTAGTTTGAAATTGTTGATCATGGTATGCATTTACTGCTTGGTGTTTGTTTTGCATTATCTGATCAGAAGAGTCATTGTTCCAGTTCTTTGAGCTTTATGAAATGCTTTTGACATCTGCAAACTATGTAACAAGACGGCAAAGCTTGAAGGTTAGTTTCTATGCAAGTTCAAATGTTTCTACTGAAATCTTCTAATTGACTCATGATATAGAGTTTCTTTAACACAAACATACTACTTTGTAGCTTCTCTTGGAATTTCTTTTGGAATCTCCAAATGCACGAATTATGGTGCGGTACATCTCAGAAGTGCGGAACTTGAAGATCATGATGACACTTCTCAAGGTATAGAACTTCTATGTCCCTGGCCTCTCCATTACCACACACTTACATTTGTCTACAAAAAAGCTATTTTATTATGTAAATTGATGATTTTTGTAATGGCTATTATTAATATAATCTCCAAAATCCATACAGTAGTTGCCATCTGCCTCCAATGGCAGACTGAGTCCTTTGAAGTTAGGAGGTAGGTTTAAACCACGAGAACCTTCACGACTTCTCAACCTAAGACATGCCATGTCTAATAAGTCAACACTTTGTGTCAGACATGTTGACACAGCTCTAAGAGCACCAATCGGTTTGATGCCAATTGATAAAGTGTCAGCCCTAAGTGGGGCAGTGTCAACATATGTCTACATGCAGCAACAAGGCCAGAGCCCTCGAGGTTGCTATGGGTACTAACTGATAACAATTTCTCTCAACGGGAACAGGAAACAGGGTTGGGTCAATACGGTAGAGGCCAGATTTTCATAGCCCGTCTCAAGTTCCATTCGTATGTAACCTTGTCAAAAAATAAAAATCTCAATGGGAACAATGGCAGTATCCAGATTTCTAAATTCCCAGAGGTTATAGGAAAATCAGTGGCAAATACCACCCTTGCTTTAACATCTTATTTTATCTTTGTAGGCATACACAAAAAAATTAGATGTCAATACTCTTCAGAATCTAATGAGAGAGCTTTCCTTTTTCATGCAGGATCCAAGCAAAAATATTCAGATCTCGGCTTTTCATGTTTTCAAGGTGCATTCCTCTTACCATTTTTCATTTGCATCTCATCAATTTAAGCTGATAATAGTTCGTACATGAAAATTTCACAATTGTATCACTTTTCTCTTTGAATTATTGTTTTCTTTACTCAGGTTTTTGTTGCCAATCCGAATAAACCACTGGAAATCATTTCAATCCTGGTGAAAAACCATGAGAAATTGTTGATGCTCTTGCACAGTCTTCCTGTCAACAAAGGTAAAACTTGGTAGAAATTCATATGCTTTAATCTTATTTTTGCCTATTTCTTTTGAATTCATCAGTTGTAAAAGCTGCGTCTTTATGCTCTTGAGCTACAGATGATGAGCAGTTTGAAGAGGAAAGAGGTATTCTAATCAAAGAAATCGAACGACTATCTAGCATTTCAGAAGTATGCTAGACGGGAAATGTGCGCACACTTCTGTGGGTACGAGAGAGAGAGACCCAAAGCCTATATCAGGCTCCCAATTATGTTTGGATTGTTTGTTGTTCATTTTGGTAAATGCATTTTACCATGGAATCCTAAATGCAAATACATAGTTGTTTCTTGTTTTGATGGACTGATGCTCATTTCACTTATCTTTCCCTCTCACCACCTTCTTGGATTTTATTTTTCGATCGTTGTATTTTCATTCGATTTTATTACAAGTATCCCGAAATGCCGAGTACTTTTCGCGATACTGTAACACAAAAAATGTGTATAAATGCATCATCACCAGGGAAGTCAAATCATCATAGAACATAAAAATGAAGCATCTTAAATAAATCCAAGAACGCTATCCACAGGTTGTGTTTCAATTAATTCACTTTGTTTCAGCCAAAACAGCAGAAGTCTTCGATTTCAAGCCCTAAAACCCAGGCCAGTAAATCACTTCCCACAAAATTAAATATATTGGGTAAAGTTTTGAAAAATGCAGCTGATGTTCAAAATTTGGTAAAAATGCCTAATTTAACGGTACCTCCATGATATTCAATTTTTTTGAAAAACATAACTCGTCATTAGAAAGTTTGAAAACAAAATCAAAATAAAAAAGTTTCAAATTTATTTTTATTTCTGGAAATACACTTTAAAAAGTCTTCACTCAAATCTGATGAAGAACCGTAGCATTTCCAAGAACACTTCTATTATTACCCCCATTCTCATAAACTAGTTTTGAAATTCTTTTTGCATACACAAATATGGTCCGCCTTTGCAGCAAAAATTTGCATAATATGTTCAATATAGAAAAAAATGAGGGCGAAAATAAGCATACATCAGATGTCTGGGTGGCATCTTGGTCGGTCACCCTGAAATGGATCTGGTTTGAATCCAAATATTGGATTCAATGGATCATGTCGGATCTATATTACCCAACCCAATATTTACATAATATATAACCTGATATTTATATAATATATATGCATATACACAACATTATTTATATATTATAGAATATTTATAACATATATTTGGTTCGAGGAGCCTCAAAAGTAGTCCCAATATCCTGGTGTTTAGTTTCTCTTCTGATTTTCTTCGATAAATGTGGCCTCATCTGACTGAAGATTGTCAAACAGGGTAATGGGAATCATAATGGTACACCAGAGCATGATCCTGATACTTGAAACACTTGGTCAGCTCCGTTCACTCCGACCCTGACTCATGTCAGGTTCAAGGTTCCATTATTTGGACGTAGATGCAAGCTGACACTTTCGAGCTGTCTAGATTTTCTAAATCACTGTTTATATTGTGTTTCATACAGCGACAGTTTTCATAAAGGCTAGAAGTTGCCACATCACCTATTGGGATGTGAAGAAGAAGAGATACGAGCAATGACCAATGCAAGTGCTGTATTATAGTATAATCAAACGACAGTTTTAAAAAATCATGTTTGTGCTATTTGTATGACCCTAAATTTTGCATACTCTATTTTCATCTCAATAATTAACCCCCAAAAAAAAAATGAAAACCCTCCAAATACAAATCTAGATCATTTATTTTGTGAATTTCAAAATCTTAGCTTTTATAAACTCAAAATCATTTTTTTCTTTTGTAACATTGTTCATCTAATGATAATAAAGTCATCCAAAAAAATTAAAAATGAAAATATCTTTCTAAAACTTATATCTAATCATCTCACCAAAATGGACGGCCTATATTAATTGGGCTAAAAAAATAAGTGTTTTCAATTTTTTCTTTTTTTGCGATTGTTCATTAAAATGAAAAGAGTGTATATTTCAAATTTTGAATCAAACAAATGGTAATAAGATGGTTTTTTAAAGTTATTGCATCATATTACTATAGAACGGTTGCACAAAACCATTTGCTCAATAGATAGATGAAGCAAAGGTATCCATTCTAATGATCCGTAATGGGAACTAAACAATGACCAAAGTGTATAGAGAGAGATGAATTGATAAAATTCATAAATCTGAAGCCATTTGCTGGCTGAACATGACCATGCCTTTAAAGTGTAAAAAAGAACAAAACAACAGTGAACGATAAGACATTTATTTCCCGCTATAAAAGGAAAAAAAAGACCATGCTTTTAAAATGTAAAAGAGAGCATAACAGGACTGAACAATAAGACATTTATTTCCCACTACAAAAGGAAAAAGAAAATTATCCATTTGAAATATGCTAAACTTGCCAAAAATGAAGATGCCATTTTACTAAAAGGCCATCACCAAACAAAAAAAGTCACTGCAAATCTCATCCACACCCATGAAAGAGCAGTTTGTTAAATAAAATTGCCCTTCAGTTTCATAATATCCTCTCCCCCAACTGATGGCTGTTTAAGATCGAGAATGATTCATGATTAAGAGTTCAAACCTGCATCTGAAACATAAATTTTATCATTTTTGAGTGGCAAATAAGCATCAGTAGATCATAGAACCAGAGTAATATATCCTCCAAGAATGATACTAGGTTGGATGATATATGCACATATACTTGCGATGCTCTCATGAGTTAATTTCTGTAGCACTAGCTTTAGGCAAAAAACTCTTAAAAAGGCTCATTCCTTCGATGCCAAAAAACAATCTTAAAAGGTCTTTGATGCCAAAAAAAACTCTTCAAAAGTAAAAAATTATCTAAGGGGATTTGCTTCACCCCAAATTTTGCACATACACTCTCTTTTAACTCAGTAAACAACAAATAAAGAAAAAAGGACTTCTACAGAATTTTTAGCGGTCATGAGAGTAGGCAATCTTTTTTTGTTTGTGAGTGTGTGTGAGAGTGAGAGAGAGAGAGAGAGAGAGAGAGAGACCCCACTTAGCTTATGATGATCTACACTGCTATCCGTCCACAAAGACGCCAGTATGCTCCAGAGTGGAAAAGAGATCTCTCAAATACCCATATATCACGTACAAGAACCTAACAGAAACATGAAAGAACAGGAAATAAGACTAAGCAGACTGAAGTAGATGGACTCAGTGAATATCTCACAACATAAAAAGGTGGGAAAGAAATACCATGAAAAACACATATGAGATTCTAAAGAAGGTAAGAAAGCATACATTAGCTCTCAATTCACCAAGCCAAAATCCTCAGCTAATAGCAGAAATAGAAATCAACTGTCCACAAAACATTAGAAATAGCGATTTAAAAAGGAAGTATACCTCCTTTGTTTTGTCACCAGAGATAAGAGTGCCTTTGGAATCATAGGCTGCAAACTTCTGCAAGATCATTTGGCAAGCGTTTTCAAGGGTATCTACAACTTGCTTTACTCATAAAAATATTGTAACATGATACATGTACCTTATTCTTCAGTTTGGTACATTTACCAACAGCCATTCATAGTCAACAACTGAAAGTCATTGTTAAGTTTTCCTCCACTTACATCAGCTTTAGTGGAGGAACAGTTGATGGTGGAAGTACCAAGCTGAACGGTATGGCACATGAACAAACCCAATAAAGAAGCAAGTGGTTAAACCTGTTTGGTTAGAATCTCAAGAGTCAGCTGAATAAACCCCTTATTGAGATCATTTTTATCCACACCAATCTAAAAAACCAAGCCAGCAAAAGAATTCAACGCATTATATCAAAATACAATTTTGATTAAAGTACAAAGAAAGATGAATTAGTGTGACAGTTGTCAGAGATTTATAACTTTAAGTTAGAAATGAACATATACGATCTTCTAGCAACCACATGTAAGACTTACCATTCGAGCCCGTAATGTGCGTACTTTTACAGCAGGTCCAATCATTTCCCAATACACGCTACTCCACATTGATTCTCGTTGCTTAATCTCATTCTTGAGGATCTACAAATGCGAACCAATTAAAGATCACAGCAAAAAGTAATAAGTAAACACAATAAAATGCAGAAGTTGATCCCAGGGAATGAAGATGATAAGGCAGAAAAGAACTAGAGAGGGCAAACAACAGTAGCATCTACAATTTAAATATGATAAATCCTTTTTTTTCATTAGAAAAGGTTTAAATATGAGAATCATGATCATATCAAATATTAACTTACAACTTACAGAATACATATTCTCTGTGACAAATTTCCTCAGTAATGTTTTATCGCCTTTCGCCATCAGAGTGTTTATCTGGACTAGTTAAAAGCTGAAATGAGAGACCAACTCAACATTGACTTAAGTCCCAAATCTTCGGAGCAATAGCAAAGACTGTGCTACCATCAGAATAGAAGTAGAAACCAAACTTGCAAATGTGAAATATAGTGAACGGGAAAGGAGGTTTTAGGAGAACTATACCTCAAGAAACTATAGGCCTAGGCTCTGCATTATATGTTTACATGATATATACACAATGACAATGTCAACAAGGCATTTGCTAGACCTAAGTGACTTACCTCTTTGTATAATTGTATAGCCTCATTGTAGAATTGTTGTTTGGAGTATCCTTTTAACTTCCTTAATTTTGCAACAGCATAGGCACTCTTGAGCTGTAACAGAACACACAGTCAAAATGTTCACTTTTTAATTTGTGCAATTGTTCATTGATCCAGCCAAGAATGAAGAAGACTACTACAAGAACGACAGCCATATATAGAATAAGGCAGACTGTGGGAGAATAGATCAACATAATTATGGAAAGAAATATGGAATCAGTCATCAGCTGGTTGTACATAAGGATTATGAATAAATGCTTAATTACAGTAAAAAGCATAATTAGAAGAAATAAAGTTATTAAGCCTTGGCAGTATTTGAAATGCATTTCAGACTATAGACTTCCAATTCAAATGCTAGTCCCATTGAAGAATGCCCAACACCTGGATCCCTATAGTCGCCTCATAGCTCCCTTTCTTTTGTTTTTCGCAATTGAAAGATGATACCGGTTTGCATAACTATTTACCCTTCCTTTTCTTTGAAACATTTGCTCCCTCTTCCACAAGTCACCCTATCAGAGACCTTTTCATCTAGGATGACTTTCTTGTGTACATGGTTTTAAATGTGCTAGTGCAAGAACCATCCTATTCTTAGAAACAGGGAACTGTTGGAGAGCCCATCTGCCATATCAGCAGTTGGCAATTTAAAATGAATCCAAGTGACTTAAATACAAATGAATCTTGGGACAGCCACCAGTTAGTTTTTTTTTATGTATGTACAGTGATATCTGAAATTTGATATATGTAGCACTATATCTCCGACACCACATGGCATAGAAACTCTTTGAACAATAATCTAAAGCCAAAGACAAAAAATTAAAGGGTGCGATTTGCATAGAGCCAAGGCTCTAAACAATCAAATTAGAGCCCACCTTCAAATAGTGTCGAGAAACGTGGTTTCAATACTGGAAATCTTTGTGGTATCCTTAAAATATATTTTCATCTTTAATTATAAAATTTAAAGCTTCAAAAATAGTATAGATCGAGCAGATCTATGAAAACTTGGAAATATTGAAAATCTACGGTCCAAAAATGCGTTATAAGATGCACTATTTCCAAAACTTGAAATCCATTCTTTTCTCATGTCCATGCATCTTGATGTCGAGATGATCAATTTGAGGATATTAGGGCATCAAAACCAACTCTTCTAGCGAAATTTTGGAGGTGGGCTCTAATTTGATTGTTTAGAGCCTCGGCTCTATGTAAACGTTTTCCAAAATTAAATAACAAAACAAGTCACAAAGTATGGTTCATCTCCATTAACATTTTCTTATGAAATCTGTAAAGATCAACCCTGAATGTTTTTTTAAGTGCCTTAGCTTTAACATGCACAATGATTACATATCAAATAGATCCAAAATATTATGGTCAAAGGAAAAACTACTCAGCTTACTTGAAAAATCCTATCAGGCCATATTTATGATAAATGAAAGCTTCCAAATCACTATGCTTTAACAAAAGAGAAAGACGGAAGTGACACTATGCTCAAAATTCAAAATGAAGCTCATAGAAATAGAATATAGTCTTTAACTAGGTATTAGCTTCTGTTCCACAAATAAATGCAGCCACTGTGAGAAAGAGCAACTCATATATAACAAAAGACCAAAACAATACCTCCAAAAACATGTCCTCTTTTGTCCTTTTCCAACCTCTTCTTGTGAACCATCTATACTCAAGTTACAATAATACAGATTATAAAAGTATAAATGTTAAAATGGTATAAAGTTGACCAATAAACATGTAAGATCAGTATTTCCTCCACAAATTTCATTAAATCCCAATCTATAAACACAACATTCAGCAAAAAACTTTAAAATTGCACATTAGCAGGAAAGAAGCAAAATACCTAAAAGCAGTGTTTCAAAAAATGTGGTCCCAATCGGGAATCAGCTGAGACCAGTCTGGTTCCGGCCAAGTATCATAGAATCGGCCGGGTCCACCCCAAACCCCCCCCCCCCACAATAAAAAAAAGAAACCCCCTTACTTTTTTATTCCCCTTCTTTCTTTTTTTCTTTTCTAGAAGTATTTTTTTTCATTTTGTTTTAATTATTTTATTTTATTAATTTTTCCTGGATCGGAGATCAATGGATGGGTGATCCAGCCCACCGATCCAGTTTTCCAAACGCTGCCTATAAATCTGTACACAGTAACAAGTTGAGTATCTGTTTATGATATGTAAAATGCAAACCGTTGTCAAAAGGGGCTTGTAATCAAACCACGGGCCAAAAACATAGCTAAGATCCTTTACATTGAAAAATGTAAATAATAATTATGCCATATTCGAAGCAAAATATATTAAGGAAAAAGTTTTTTGATCGTAAAAGTAGGCCAAGCAAGACTTATGTGGTTACATGTAATTTCAATAACTTTAAATCAATTTTAGTTTTAGCCAAGCAGTGACAACTATGAGAAATTTCTAGGATGGTCATTCAAATAGAATGGTTCTTTAAACTAACAAAAATAAAAGAAACAGAGTGAAAGAATTCACCTTCTCCAGAATGAGATTGGTTCGCGACGCTCATATGGCTCATATATGAATCCTGGGCTCACGATGGACACCTTCAAGGCCCCCTGCATACATCAACCACACAGAGAACTAACATAGGTACACTACACAAAATACATATCCAATAAATTCAGCATAAAAAATTATATATGCCTCACAAAAGATAAACTAAACAGGGAAAAGAAAACAGGACACAGAACTATGTGCAAATCCGTAACTCAACTCAAATTAACCAATATGTTCATGGTGATGCCCTTTGTGGAAAAAATGAGAGGAATAGGGTTTCTCTAGCAAGTATCAACAACTCCCCGAAGAATCAAGCTCAAAAAATGAGGGCTTGTGCAAGTGGAGAATAATTGGGGGAACAAGGGGGATGGTGCTGGTGGTTATGATGTTATTGTAGAATACTTCCTAAGAACAGCTTCCTGATGAATACCGGATACATAATATTATGATTCAAGCAGATACCATCACTAACTGAAGTCTGAAAGATGTTATCTTAAGCTACAGAATCCCAGTATCTTACTGGTGAGCCATTTATGCCCATTATCATAATCTACGAGATACAAAAATTTCTTTTCTTGAGAAGATATTCAACGAATTATAAATTCCATAGCACAAAATGTTTACAAATCAGACTGTCTGCATCGTAATTTTTTGAAGAGTAAGTGCACTTACAGTTTGTCTCGCTTGAGGAGGAGCTTTTGCTTGCACTGTGCTAAACCCTTTGTGGTTAACAGTATCAAGCAAGTCACCAACCTAACAGGGAAAGCGGTTATCAGAAGTTGGAACATATAAAACAACCATTGTAAAAGTCAAAATCATAATACAAACATACAGCTCTCTTGATCATAGTGAGTAATAAAGATCAATGATCAATGGCAGGTGTGATGTGATGGTTTACAAAATGAGATCCAAGCTCTCTAGCAGATAAAAATATATATCAAATTACGGCATTTTCATCCAATCTCGAAAAAGGATAGCTAAATGAGTAAAGTGTGCATGAGCACAAGTTCCTCGCTTCCCCACTTTAGAACATGAACCTCAATAAGCCGTAAGTTTCTTAATTTGCAGTTTCTTTTCTTGTCATTTTAGTTTTGAATAAAATGAAGCACATGAGTTTTGAAATTTTTTAATACAATAAATAAGGCAGGGAAGCTTCGTTACTTTAGCAGATGATTTTTTTCGGTAAGAGCAAGAAACAATAGTAAATGCATCAACCAATGATTTGGTTTATTGTACCTTTGAAATAGTAGAATGTATTACACTTAACCAAAAATGGCCGTTGTATTTTCTGTGGCCGAGAAACTATAGCTACCGTTTCAATAATATTGCCAAAAAAATTAAAATAAATAAATAAATAAATCATGGAAAAGGAATAAATTAAGGACTATAAGCAAATATTTTACCACTGCAGAATGAAGCAACTTTGCATTCTCCAGACTCCTTGAAAAACCATTGAATAAGTTAAAAGAAGGCGATCCTATGCTTCTGTAACCAATACCTGGCTTCAAATAGCAATGATAAATATATAGAAATTAATAAAATGGGCATAAATAAATAAATGCAACATTAAAGAGCAAACAAATGTATCCATAATATAGTTGAAGAAGCTAAAAATTTGGATATGAGAACGGTAGTCAGATGGATATAGCCTATAATTTTATACATTTAGATCTTGCACCGTGAAACCAAGAACAAACTATCAAAAGCCCATTTTCTTAAAATATCAATGGCTCAATAAGTGCAAAAAAGTGTGAAAATCATAATTCATGAATCCGAGAAAAACAAATATCAATAATGTCTCTGACCAAATCTTCAAATAAATAAAAGTTGAAATATCAAATATCTCTAAACTACCAGTAACTGGTTTCCTTCATTCCATCTATCACTATACAGCCAGAGAAACTACATCACATGATCCAATTCTATTAACTGGACAGAAACCACTCAGAAAAGCCTAGGAGACAGAAACAACATGGCAATAACGTGATCAAATAAGCTAATCTCAGTAGAATATGCAATAAATCACCAATTTATGTTTCTTTTTTCTCGAGTGTTGAGCATGTAGATTGCTATATACTCACCATATGAAGTGGTTTCAGATGTGGCATTCAAATGATCCACTCCTCTGCAAAATCTTGTACCTTTTATCAAGAAACTCCCATGGCTTCCATTCCTAAAAATCACACAAATAGATTATCAGAAATAATGCTGAAACAACAAAGAATCAGAGAAAAAACTGGACATTAACAGAGAAGTTAAGCTCACAGTGGTGAATATGGGGGTTGGAAAGTTAGGGTTTTGCAGAGATTTACGGTCTTGTGGGCATTTCGTAGAGCATTCAGCCTTGAAAAAGCCATGAAAATAGGTCGAAAAAAGGCAGTGATTTAATTGAATTTTTGACTAATGGGTGCGGGTATGAAGGGGAGTTTAAATATGAGGTGGAGGAGAAGAATATGGAAGCCCTTAACAAAACAGAAAATGGCTAAACTAGCGTCGGGCTTATAAGAAGTCGCACTTGTATGAATTATTATAGAAGTTTGTCAAAATGCACGGGGTCCAAATACATTTAGTGTATTAACTATTGAGAAATGATCTTACACGACCTTCTCCCACCCATGTAATACCCCTAAAGGATCACTATTAAAGTTGGTATTAATCTTTAGAAAAGTCAAATCCCACACCTATATGATAATTTTTTTAAAGATTTGTGTCAACTTTAATGGTGATCTTTTGAAGTCTTATTCACATAGGTGGGGGAAGGTCTTATAAGATTATTACTCGAAACTATTTAATATAGAAATTTATAGAATGAGATCATTTACTTTTGATATAGAGAGATCACAATTATTATTGACCGGTAGATTTGAAATCATGTAATTGAGATTGTGTCATTATTTGGATACAAAGTCAAAAATAAAATTCTCGACACACTTTTACCTTTGGATTTCACATCCAATGGCTATAACTGGTTTGTGACTTCCTTGTACCAAAAAATAAATGGTCTCATAACATATAATTTGATTTAATATTCTCATTTTAGTTCTTATATAATTTCAAATTTTCTCTTAAATTATACATTATTTTGCGTAGGGACAATATAAAATAAGTAAAATATTAAATAGTTAAAAAGTGATATATCGTGAGAAATTCCCGATTGCTAAGTAAGTTTTTATGTGTTGAAAATGATGAATATTATCTCTTGGGCTGATTTATTATGTGCTTCAATCTCTCTCACTCTCCTATTTGTCTTACCCTCGAGTAGATTTGTTGTTTGATCCAAGCTCTCTCTCGTGATATTTGCTTCAAGTGGTGAATAATCAATCTCTTGAGTAGACTTGTTTTGTGCTTCAAATGATGAACAATCTATTTCTATTTTTTAGATGCTTCAAACAAGGCCCTCAAATTAGTGAAGTGTTTGGCCCAATCAAAATCAGTCTAAGGCGGTTAAATTTGTTGATCAAAATTAGAGAGGAAAAAAGAAAAATAAATAAGAATTCCAATTAATATACATATGTAGTATAAGAATGATGATGAATGTGGAGATTATCTTTTACATGGTCCCCACCCGCCCCCCTCGTAACATCTGGAAGCGGACACTTCAAAAGCTACATATATGCTATTGTCTACCAATATCCTATATAAATGTTTTGGATCAGCTAAATATTCCTAGTATCAAGATCCTATATAGATGTTTTGGATCAGCTAAATATTCCTAGTATGCCAAGTATGGGGAAGTCTATATGCAAAGCCTTTAAAGGATAGCTATATTATGGGAGATGCGGAAAGAGAGGAATAGAATGGTATTTGACGACATCTCTTAGAATGAGGTAAGGATCAAAAATGATTTTGAAGAATCATTGTTTAGATGGATCTCTGCGTTCAAGGAGTCTTTGAGGTGGATATTGAGGTGAGATTGGCAAATGTTGTTCAGATGAAGATTTGTAGATCCAGATCAAAGAAGATTTGGAACCACTACCCTCAAGTTAAATTTTGATGGTAGTTCTTTTAAGAATCCTATCTTGAAAAAGGTGGGGATTTTGCTTAGGGATTGTGAGGGCTATTATTTTTCTTTTTCTTTTTCGGGGCATTGTGACTCTACCACAAGACCCGACAATTATTTTTTCCCTCTCAAGTTCCTCTAGGAATCCAAACCTAACTTGAACTGTTTTACTTGATTATCTCAATCTAACCCAAGCGAATTTAAATCAGATTGGAAATAATCGGTTATACATTTGTTTCTCCCATCAAATGGTGTTTTTCATAAGTATACTTTGACAAAAATAGGAAAATTAATGTATGTATATATATATATATATATTGATAATTATTAAATGTCATCTATTTTGCATATATTTGCCCTTTATGTCATTTTTTCTAAGTTTTATTTTCAAAATACACAAAGTTTTTCCCTTTTTTTATCTCTAGACCAGTTTAGAACTTTAAGTTCCGAACATCTATTTGATAAACCAACCAGATCTGAACTAGTTATTCAATAACAGAATTAATGATACACTTGATTTTTTTACTAAATAGCTGATCATGAACTTGGAAGTACCGAATCGAGTAGAAGAAAACAAGCAAATAGTGTTGATTAGAAACTTAAAAGTTTTGAACTACTACTCCACAAAAAAATAAAAAAAACAGGCGTTGTGCAACACAATCAGATCGAAGCCTATAAAGTTCATGACTAATTGGTTTATTAAAAAAGTCACATGAGAGCTACAATTCTAACCACCCGCTCTACAATTTTCGAGTTCCAAACCAAAGGTATTTGAAATGCTAAAAAATAAGAAATGACATAAAACTATGGAACATAAAAATGGTAATTTTGAATATTATAAATAATAGTAATTGTGACTTTTTTGTACTAAAAGTAAATAATTTATATATATATATATATAGAATATTTATAACCATCATAAAAATAAGAAAATAATTTCATAAGGTTTCGATCCTATCAAAATAAATAAAGTATTTTATCAAAATTAGTAAAACCTTACCTCATAACTCATAAAAAATTGCAATTCAAGCACTAAAAACCTTTTCATCGATCATCTTGGCTTGAACATTATGGTTATATAAAAAAAAAAAGTTATCAAGCTCTAAAAATAGTATAGACTGCAACAAATTATCTAGACCATCCATTTTGCCGTAAAAAAAATTTATTCATAGATCTGTAAGATCTGTATTATTTTTTGAATTTGAATTTAGTTATTATGTTGAAAATTAATTTGAAAGCCATGCCATCATAGAGATATATGTTGCCAAAAGTGCTTTATTTTGTTTTTATGAAGTCTTGGCCTTATAAAAACCCCATCCAAAAAATAAGGGACATCTACAATGATTTATAGTTTAATCATATTTTTTTGAACAGTTGATATTCTCTATGAAAGAAACCCGAAGTCCGGGAGCGCTTTGGTCATTTTTCAGGTTATCTTATTACACAAGGTACCCTCCTCTTTTTTATTATACACGCATTGCCCTCCGCTGCTACATTCTCTCTCTTTATTGTTCACCCTTGGCTTGCTTCCGCCCTTTTGGTTATCCCTGAAAATGTGCCCTTTCATGGATTTGAAACCCTAGATTTTTTCTGCAATCTCTCATTCATGGTTTTCTCTCTTTTCCGAAGCTATCTAGCCTTTTGCAAATCGATATTTTTTATGGTTTCCATCTATCCCCAATTATTAGATATTATATTTAGAGACCCCTAGAATCGCGTCACAAATCCACCATTTCTAGGGTCTCTCTCTTCCCCTGTTTCGAGGTTTATCCCAGAAACCCCCTCTCCGAATCTGCTGTTTCTCTTTCTTACCGTTTCAAGGTTCTCTCTCCGTGAGCCTTGTAAGTTATTTGACATCCCTTCAAGGTTTCTCAGTCTTCTCAATCCCTGATCTTTTTGCCCAATCTGCCATGAATTTCTTTAAATCCGTATTCGCAGAAGACCCCAATGATTATTCAGCAGAGGACAGGGAAACCCACCAAGATGAGGAATTGAGCCCAGACCCTGATCCACCCCAGAAGCCTAGACCCACTTCAAACCCTAAGTCTTCACCATGGTCCTTTGGTGGCCTGATCAAAACCCTATCCGAAAAATCAGAGGGAGTTTTAGAGACTTATCGTCGAGATCTTGAGGAATTCAGCTCTGGTCTCAAGCAAGAGACTGCAGCTATTCGTGAAGCTGCTACTCGTGCTGTAAAGGACTTGCCTGGTTCTCTTGAAGCTGGTGCATCAGTGGCTCAAGAATCCCTAGAAAGTGTTGGCCAAGCCCTTGATGACCTAATTGCACAAGGTAAGGAAGTCTTAATTTCATCTGAATCGTCAAATCAAGACTTCAGTTTCAGTCATGGCCATAGCTCTGGTTATAGTAATCCAGGGTTAGGGCAGACACCTGTGAGATACAGTAGGCTTGATGCCCAAATTAGAATTTTACAGGGGGATCTGAACACTTATTGTGAGGAGCCTGAGGATTTAGTTGATTTTGATAAATGGAGACTAGGGTTTGTTTTAGAGGATAAAAAAAATGAAATTGAAGTGGTCTGTGGTGAGAGTAATGGTGTTATGGAGGGGATTTTGGGTAAGCTCGTGCCTAGGGTTGTTGATTACGAAACATTTTGGACTAGGTATTTTTACAGGGTTCATAAGCTTAAACAGGCTGAGGGTGCAAGGGCTGATCTTGTCAAGAGGGTTATTTCTAGGGAGGAGGAGGAGGAATTGAGTTGGGAGGTTGATGATGATGAGTTCCCAGCCATTGATCCAAAGGATGGGGTATCGGGATCCATGGAACCTGCAACTAGAGCAACTGATAAGGTTGCTGGGTATTCAAAATCTCATCTCGAAGGTGAACTGATTGATGAATCAGAAACCCAAAATGTGGTTGCGAGTACTTTGGGAAATCGTAATATGGGTGATGCAGATTACAGCAAAAAATCAAATTTTGAGGAAACTCTGAAATTGAGTATGAGTAATTTGGGAAATAATGAGATGGGTAGCGGAGATTACAACAAAAAAATGAATGCTGATTCTTCAGTTTCTAGGGAATTTGAGAAAAAATCAGACACTAATGAAGCAAGCAAGGAAGTTGAAAAGGAAGCAATGGTTGAAGAATCAGGTGTGAAACCATCTAGTGATAAAGGGACTGTGGAAGATAAGATGATAGTGGATGGGAAGGCTGACACTGGGGAATCAAGCAAGGATAGTGATTTTTCGGCTGTGTCGAGCCAGCCTTCGATTCAAGAAGAAGATGACCTTGGATGGGACGAAATTGAAGACCTTGGAGAACACGATGACAAGAAAGAAAGCAGGAGTGGCAGCCCGATCAGGATCGATATAAGGAAGCGGCTAAGTGCTGCTGATGAAGATGATGATCTTTCGTGGGATGTTGAAGATGATGATTCAGTCAAGTCCTGACCAGACAGACATTATTGAAGCAAATTGGTCCTCCATTATGCACAATGCACTTAGTTTTATCACTTTATGTTATCTTGTTTCTTGGTTTTTCTGATCATGGATTCCAATAATTCTTTCAACGCATTTGTTCTTTTATTATGTTCTGTAAATAAATATGACTGGTGTACATTTTAGTGTTTTCAATGATGAAATGGCCATGCTCCTGTAACTTTGGTCTCTGTCAATGTTTGATGTATTTAATTTTCTGTTCAACTTTGTCCTTTTTAATATCGTAAAACTCCTCTCTTATGAAATTGAGTCATGGAGTACTTCTTATGAAATTGAGTCTTGGAGTACTTCATTTCTTGAGGTCATGCAGACTTTTCATGCTTAGTTTTTTAAAATCATTTGAAACTTTAAATTCCAGTACCCCATGGCATGCTGTGAGTTGAGTTGATAGGCCCAAATAACCTCTGAGTTAGTCCCAACTAGAGTTACTCCCAACTAAATATCCTTATTGAAATGTATCTTTGACAAGGAGAAACCCACCACAAACACTTCAGTAGCCTTTCCCACTCCGACTTCCTCCACAGTTGAAACCCCATTCTCAGATTCAACCCTCAAAGTCCCCCTCGATCCTCCCTTCCGAGACCACCTGATGAAGGGAAAAATGGCGATGTATAATTTTCTTTTTTTGGCCTCTCTAGGCTCCTTGTATAGGGCACCCGTTTGTGGGTAGCCTATTTTTTGGGCGGAACCCATGTGTGGGTATCCAGTTCTCCTCACTTTCTCTGTACTCCTTTTAGTTAATATAGAATTAACATATTAAAAAAAACATATCTTTGACAAGGAGGTTTATGGTGCCTGAAGCTCATCCAGCTCTGATGCGTGGGTACCCTCATACATAAGCTCACACATTAGTAACCTTGTGGGAGACATAATTTTTCTCCATTGGTTTGGGATTGTTCATGCTTGGAACCTGATATCTTTTAGACCACTTGTAGTATGTTTTGTTTGTCAATACTTGTTTGCATTATCTTGGTTTTTCCTTATGCTTGGGTTCCTTATCATGGTACTGTGTACTCTTAAACTGATTTGTCATTTTTCTTAATTTGGATACTTTCATTGTTTTTGTTAGCACCTTGTATTTATGCCTAATAAGTGGTACTTTGCAATTTACAGTTAAAAAAAAGAAAAAGTAGTAGTTTGCAATTGATATGCTGATCATTGTTAGCAAACTTAATAACAAAAAACAAGAGAGGTTTCTATGGATATTGAATATTGCATGTGTTAGTATGCATCTATGTATATTAATAAATTTGTATACTACTTCTGTCATGACTGTTGTGGCTATATAGTATGTTATATTTATATTCACTTATTAGCTGACAGAATGACTGTCTACTTGAATGGCTATTAGCTGATAGAATGGTTATTTATTAGCTGACAGAATGGTTATTTATTAGCTGACAGAATGACTATCTAGATAAAGTGTTTTTGAAATGTGAAATCGACTCTTGTTCTCTGAGCTTTCTCTTGTATGTTTCTTTCATCCCATTGGAACCCATTGCTTCTTTTTTAGATAATTTGAGAAGTGTTTCATTCGGGGGAAAAAGTCTATAAGTTATGCCTGAGTAAAGGCGCCTATCCTAAAAAATGAGAAATAGGATTTATGGATTATGTTATTGGCACTGCAATGATTCATGACTGAGCATCTCATACTCAGTTTGCTTTTGTTGATCTCAGTGTCCCATATGTCTTAATCATCCCTTGGATTCTCCATTTTGGGCCACCTTTTGGAAAATAACTTACCTTTGTTTGTTTGGGTTTTGAAGCTGTCTCAATCCTTTTTCTCCTTTATACTGTACCTAAATTGTCTTCCTTGAGGTGATTATGGAACTTCAATGTTGCTTAATTTCCTCCGTTTTGTCTTTAACTAGCACTGAGCCCTTGTGTCAAATATTTCTGTGGTAGAAACAATGCCTGTTCCCCCTTTGTACTTTTTAAGTGTCGACAATGTGTCTTGTGCAGTACCTTTGTTAGGAATAATATGGTTTCTAGTTGTCCCTGAGTTATTGTGCAGCTTTGCCAGATTTTGGATTACCAAAGGTGATGCACCCTTACTTCTCTATGATGCATAAGGTGTGTTCTTCCCAACGCACAATCGTGTTCCAGCCCCTCTCTAAATTGTCGCAGGTATGTCCATACCGCTTCTATTCTATTTTTTTCATGAAGTCTGTAAAACTGGAAAAGGGTACATGAAATCAGACTGCTATCAAAGATAAGCCTCAGGGAGTGTGTATCTGAGCTATCTGCCAACTAGATATTCAATGGATGGAAGATCTCTTGTTCCTCTTGCTATCGTTTAGTATCAACAAAATTGGTTTATTTTATGGTGTCCACAAAGCTGTGTCTGATACGCTTAATTGCTGTCCATGAATTTGACATGAATTTTTTTTTTCACTACAAATTTTTTTCTTCTTGTTCACCAAGCCTAAGAAATATTAGCTAAAAGAAGTGGTATGTAGCTTACCATATTGGTGTACATGAAATCTCATAATCTGATGAATACAATGCTACAATTAGATAGTGCCCTCAAATTTGCCTTACCAAGGGACTGAATATCCCCAAAATTCCCAGTAATAGATCATTGAATATAATATCCACATGGCACTGAATTCGTGACAACAATCTGCCACCTATTAATCGCACAGGCTTCTGAACGTGGATAAGATGAAAATATGAGATCTATAGGCTGAATTTTGCTGTTGAAATGGCTACCAAAAACTAAGTTATGATCGAACCCAGTGTTTAAAAACCCAGAAATATATAAATTCTTGGACATGGATCAGACTCGTCTGAATTTTAGGACTAATCATCCAGATCTGAATCTGGGTTCAAGGAGGCGATCTTTGAACATTGATAAAACCCATAAAACATAAATCAACCATTTTTTTTGGGTAGTCAAGTGGTAGGAATTGAAGGTGATTGCTTGACGTTAAATGCTAACCACTCAAGCCCAAGCACGATTCCTACAAAAAGCAACATCATTATGCGAGCGAACTCAACATGTTCTGTGACATTTACGCTAGTTTTGAAGTACATTTCTATTGAGATGGCATCTGAAACTAAATTCCCATAGAACCCATCACTCAGTCACACACAAGCTGAATTCTTCAAATAAACTGAAAATGCTATTCTTAAACATCAACTCAATTTAAAGTACAGTTCCCTGATGCCGAATCTACTGGGCATATGCTAGTACAAGAAACTCTACAAAGCATGAACAACTCAACATAGCATGTTTGCTTCCTAGTGCAGAAAGTTCTAGAGAGAGAGGATGCCTCAACACAAACATAATCCCCTCTCCAAGTTCAAGAACTTCTGGAGAAAAACGAACCACAAAACACACCACAACTCTCACGAGGTGGTCTCTATCAGTACAAGAAGTTCTAAATAGAAAATAAATGAACACAAAAACATAATCAGTGAACAAGACCTGTGTCTAGATCAGATTTTGCAGGCTTTGGGGCAGTTGGGGGAGTCTTGGAAGCCATCCTCCCTTTAGCCTGAGGTGCTTCTCTGTGATTCTTTGGACTATCCGAACGAGAAGGAGAGGGCAAGAATACCCCAGTTCCACCTCTAGTTATTCCCTTTGTGGGGCCCACTGCTATTGGGGCGTGGGCCACTGCGATCATGGGACCATAGAGAACACCCCATCTAGGGACCACATTTGACAAGCCTAAGGGGGTGGGTCCTGCACTAAAGGCAGGGAGCAATTGGGGAATGCCTGGTTGGCTAAGAGCCACAGCCATGGCTGTTGATGCTTGCTGAGAGAGGGGAGGCAGACGGTTTTGATTTATCGGCTTGGCTTGAACCTTGAGGAACGTTATGGTGATCCTTTTTGTAGGTGAGGAGCATATAGCGTGCCTTGCAATTTCGGCACAATGTCTTGTCATGACTACAAGTGATCTGCATGTTCCACACGACTAGATCCATCAATTATTCTCCTTTCATTTTCTCATAATTTATTTATTTATTGGTTTTTTTAAAGGCAATGGAACAGTAGTTTTTTTACTTTTTCTCAAGAAATTGAACATAACAAGTTAACATGACAGTGGATGTATTCATTCTTTTCATGTTAAAACCTAGTGAAAAAGAGCTATATAAGCCTAGCAACGGAAAACATCTTTAACTTCGCAGAAGAAATCAGGAGGAGAAGGATCTGTATCGAATGCATACCCTTCCTTGAGGGAGAGCATCAGCGAACCATTATAGTTTCCATGCTGATCATTAGCCAAAACTGGCCCGAAAACCATTTTACATTCGGAAGACAGTGAGAGTGTAGAAATCGGCAGATCAAAGTGTGGGGGTTTCAAATAAGGTTGAGAGAAATCCCCCTGCAAAAATGTAAGCATGAATTGTCACACTCCATGAAGAATATGAAGGGGAAAGAGTTCAGAAAACATTGATTTAAGAGCAGTGGTGTCATTACTCTCGCTCTCGCTCTCTCTCTTTCTGGGACAACAAAACCAAAAGAGATCACCTCATTGAAGTAGTTGATAACACAACAATTTGGTCTTGCAGTTTCAGGTATCAAATTCCACTGGACAAGATGATCAATGACAGCATGCAAAGATGCTGGGATGGGCTCTACTGTTCCTAAAACAAGAGAATTAAAGTTTAATATCTGATAGCGTGAACAGAATCAAATATCTGATAGTGTGACAAAAATCACTATTCAATCTACGGTTTTAGAGATTTTACTTGCTGATTCTTCTTTCTTCAATCCAAAGATGGGAACACCAAGCTGGATTATTTCTCTTTTGTTGGCATGCAATTGTCTGTTGAGAACAATGTATGTCTCGCCTGAATTGAAAAGCATAATAAATAAGACTGAAGAGTCAAACACCAAAACGGAAGAAGAAGAAAGATTTTAATAATGGCGCACAAATTTCGTGCAAAGAATGCAATTCTAATAGCATACCAAACCTTCACCAGCAAAACTGGATTTAAACCAATGCAACATGAGAAGAGGGGAGCCTGAGACAGTTTGAAACTTGCCTAATAGTTCTCCTTTTTGGCCCGCAAGATGAAGTTCATTTACAATGACAGCAAGACTAGAAAGTTCCTGATTGGAGAAAACATTCTCGTAGAGCTTCAAACCTTTTACAACATTAACCTGCCATGATTAATGCAGGCAACATAAAAAATGATACCCAAAAACAACCATGAATGAGCCCAACTTGTGAGAGAGAGAGAGAGATTTACCTGCAAAGCCATTTATAATTAAACCACTATAGTGCATAAACTCTTGATGCAAGTAACTCACCATATGCCCCTTTATGAGCTCATTTGCAATGAAACCCTTGGTGGTCTTTATCCTAGCAGGACGTTGCCGGCAATCCTCATGTCCGGAGAAAATCGAAATGTTCTCTGAAGGGCATTTCCTTTCCTGAAATCCTAGTACCCAACACCAAATGCAAAAGGATTATGCCTGGAATAGAAGCCATAATCATCACAGAGGGAAATCATAGGCGAGGCGACTCTCTCTCTCTGAAGCCATAATCAATACAGAAGGAAATCTTAGGCACGAGACGTATCTCTCTCTCTCTAAATAAGTATACGAATGCATGCATGCATGTATGTGCAAATGATGATTGGAATGAGGGATAGAACACATGAACGCTGCAGTAGAGACTGAAAATTAGATCTGTTCAAAAGAAAATGCAGGCCTTCACTAAGCTAACCAACAAAGAATAAATACATAGATCTTGACGAATCTAAGCATCAACAGAAAAAACAGGTCCCCAGATAAGTGAATCATGAGGCAGACAGTGATTCTTAACTAAATGTCAGTTACTTGGGGTTCTCGAAACCAGAGACGACTGGGAAGGAGATTCAGTTTCTTTCAGATTTAGTTAGAATTTCTAATTGTCAGCTTTTCGTTTTTTCCATTACTTCCAAAGTTTACTATTAAATTAAGGGAAAATTTCGTAGAGACCCCTATCTTACCCCCTCATCTCTTCTTTCCCACGTTTATTGATTTTTAGGCTAAAAAACTAGCTCCAACAAATTGTTTTATTCCATCTCAATCACTTAGGTACTGAAAGTGCAAAATAGGGTTAAAAAGGTTTTTGGATTGAGATGAAATAAAACTATTTGTTGGGGTTAGTTTTTGTAGCTCAAAGTGAATAAACGTGGGAGAGAGGAGATGAGGGGATACGGTGAAATACTCGAGGGTTTTTTATACCGCTTGAAAGAAAAATAGAAATAGGGTCTAACGTAAAATAAGATGGGAAATTAAGGATATGTACGAAATTTTTCCTTAAAATAATTGAAGAGAGAGAGCGACACTTAAAGTTTCCATGTATACAGTGATTCTTGGTGAAGGACCCCAAGAATTTTGCAGCAATAAGAATAAATACAATAAATACATAGATCTTGATGAACCTGAGCATCAACAAGAAAAAACAATTCCCAAATAACTGAATCATGGCACGAATCATGAGGCAGCCAGTGATTCTTGACTAAATGTCAGTTATTTGGCATTCTCGCAATCAGAGACGACTTGGAGGGAGATTCAGTTTCTTTCAGATTTAGTGTCTTATGTATATTCAGCTTTTATTTTCCTCCATTTCTTCCAAAGTTTACTATTAAATCAGTTGGAGAGAGAGACTTAAATCTCCCATGTATACAGTGAGATGAAGGAAGCCAAGAATCTTGCAGCAATAAGATTTAGTGACAGTAAATGAAGAAAATACTACTTATATCAACCTGATGCAGGGAAACCCAACTTGAGAAACAGAATATACCAAGCTATCAAGAAGTTTGTTGGTCTCTTTATGTGCATATGGGACAATATTATGTATATACAGGACAAATATGAAGGGAAGAACAGAGCCAAATGACCTCAAATCTCGTGAAAAATGGCACCTCACCACCGGGGAAAACCACTTCAACCCTTAATCGATTTGTCGATGCTGAATTATTGGAATCAAAATACAATGACAATCTAGTAAAAACTAATCAAACCATAAAGTAAAACTGATGCACTAATCATCTTCAAGGCCAATTCTTTGGATGGCCTAATGTAATAGATTAGAACTTGAACAATCTTTTCGATACTTACTCCTTCCAAGACGAAATTTCCTTAAAACAAACCATACCCATGCTCGAGTCTCACTGCCCCTTTGGAGAGAGCAAGAAGGCATCCACCACCCATCCTCAACATCAGGCAATGGTGATAAACCATGGACCCCAGTGAAAGTTACTCATCAAAGCATGGTTAATTTCCGCATTCTGTTGCTTGGAATGCTCTGCATAGGCGTACGCCTTTAATCTTTTGATCCATGGGCATAGATATTACTCGTAAAGATTTAATTTTTTTTTCATTATTCTCTACTTTATACAAATATATATGCGAAGCTACCACTTCTAGATGGGCATAGATATTACTCGTAAAGATTTAAATTTTTTTTCATTATTCTCTACTTTATACAAATATATATACGAAGCTACCACTTCTAGTTGCTGCAATATGTGATCAGCTCCACATAACAGAGTGATAGGATTTGGCCAACTTCTCTTTTTAAGTATATACTTTACCTTCTCATTAAAAACAGGCAAAATTTGTGCACCACAGAATCTACTTTTTATGCACAGATAGTGATAATAAGTACTGCAAATATTTCCACAGTTATACTGATCAGTTTATATCACTAGAAGTATCAATCCAAAGGTAACTAGTAAAATGTTTATCTCAAGTAAATGGAAAAACAATTCATCATTATTACAACAGAGAAACACTCTTTTGTTATATTCATTGTACAGCATCTATAATTGCACAGTGGTGAAGGAAATAAAGCTAATCAGCTTTTTCTTTCTTTATAATCTAATCACAATCTAGAGACAAAACCTGGTAAAAATTTAAGGAAATTTTATCAAAATACACCTAAAATATCAATGATTTAACATTTTACCCTTTTGTAACTATTCCAATTCATGGTTACATGTATTTTGATTGGTATTTTGAAATTACATTAAAAGAAATGTGTAAAATGTTAAATATTTAATATCTTAGGTGTATTTTGATAAATTTCTGAAAATTTAATTACCAAGACTGTCTATTGAGACTCCATTAATCTAGAGGTGAAGCAGCTATAACTTAATGGATTTTCCTATAATGATTCTGTTTTCGTACATCAGAACCTTAAATTATAAATATTAAAGAACTAATCATTATGCCCCCTACAGACATAACAATGAGAATGAAAAACAAATCCCCTTAAACATGTGTCCAACTGTCTACTGCAACTAATTACCAAAAAAAAAAAAAAGAGAGGGCAAAGGAGAGAGAGACTAAAATGAAGACAAGGAACATGTGAAAGTGATGATTTACAACATGACAGGCAGGCTCTTGATGGGCACCTCGCATGGTACAAGAAAAAAGAAGCAAAAATTAGGACACAATGAAAATGAGATGCATCACGGATAGTACCATGTAGAAGTCCATCCAAGCTACCCTCAATAAAAACTATAATGGAACAAAAAAGAAAGTTGGAAACTCACATGGAGATCAAATTAGACCGTTAAATGAAAAAAATATCTTTAACAAAATGAGTGAATAAGAAAAAAAGAAAAATAAAAAGAAAAAGGGATCACCCACGTCTACACATGATCCAGTAAAAAAAATAGAAATTTTTTGAAAAGGAAAATGGCAGAAATTCATCAAAAATTCGAGCTCAAGCATCCTACAGAACAATATCATCAAATCGAACATTAAAAATGTAGAACTATGAAATGCAGCGATTCCTCAATAATGATTTTTGAGAGAAACCACCGATGTTAATAAGCACAAAAAAACAATAACAGCAATAAAAGATTGAAATTACAGTCAGCAAAAATAACAACAATAAATTACTCAATCCAAAAAAAGAAAAAAAAGGAAAAAGAAACCCAATTCCAAATAAAGTCATATCCATGCCAAAATTCAGTGCAAAAAAATCTAGATATTAACACCTCACTTAAACCATAAAAAAGAAAAAAGAAAAACCATTGAAAGATCAAATTGCACCCAATAACTATCCCCTCGAAAAAGCATAAAAATAAAAATCAATCCTCACCACGAGACGATGATCGACCATCTTCCTCTTCCTCTTCCTCTTCCTCATCCACCACCTCACCAGTCAAGGAATCCCCGTTTTGCCCCTGCCTTCCATTAACAACCAGTTGCAGAGCAAAGGCCACATCTGTAATGGGAAAGTACTTTTGCATATGAAGCACTGGAGCCCAATTCAGTCTCCTCTGATTTATACAAGCCAAAACTGAGTCATATTGAGAGGGCCTATCTGAAACCAATCGAAGGTGAGCGCATAGAAGGTCTATAATGGCATTTGCAGCTGCAAATTCGCCGTTGAACCAGGCCAAGAGAGCGTCGTTGGGCGCAAATGTGTTGGGAAAATGAGTTGGGGTAGGATTTGGTGGTTGAGAAAGAGCACGAGTTCGATGGTTGGGCGCCATTAATGGAGGAGGAAGAGAGACATATAGGATTGGAGCGTGAGAGAGAGAGGAAGGGAAGCCATTAGAGGTTCGGGTATACACCTCGTTTGTCCATCATAGAGAGAGAGAGAGAGAGAGGGGTTTCTTTCTGAATTCTGAATTTTCAGTGGGGGAGGCTAGGAATTACATCGGGAGATGTTCTCTCTGCGTTTTAAGAGAGAAGGAGGCGTAGGGATTTGTGCCTGAGTTGAGAGAGAGATCAGATGTCCTCCTTTTCGGTCTCCAAAAGGGAAGGACGAGAATTATTCATAGTTAGAAACAGAGAGAGAGAGAGAGAGCCTCCTTTGTGTGTTATCAGAGGAGGCTCAGGGTCAATGGGCTTTTAGAGAGAGAAAAATTCTTTCCTCCTGCTCCAAAAAGAGAGCACTGCTTGAAAATTATAGAGAGAGAGAGAGGAACGTCGTTTGTGAGAGAAAGAGAGAGAGGTGTCCCTTTCTGGCTTCTTAGAGGCTGGGGTCAGAGAGAGAGAGAGGGGGTAGAGCGTGCCTCCCAATTTTAGAGAGAGAGAGAGAGTACAACTTCAGAGAGAGAGAGTGGAGTGGCTACAAAATTATAGAGAGAGAGAGAGAGAGAGAGA